ATGGCTTCTTCCAACAAGACAATGCGCCATGCCACGGTGCTCGTATTGTGCAGGAGTGGTTTCAAGAACATGAGGGAGACTTTACCTTGCTTAGGTGGCCCCCACAATCACCAGATCTCAATCCAAGTGAGCATTTGTGGGACGAAGTTAAAAGAACCATCAGGCAGCTGGTTCCACAACCATCAAATCTCACAGAACTGGACAGTGCTATTCATGGTATCAGATTCCTCACGTCACCTTTCAACATCTCGTGGAGTCAATGCCAAGAAGAATCGCCACAGTATTGAAGGCAAAAGGTGGCCCAACGAAGTACTGATGGGGTGGTCACAATAATCTGGCCACTCAGTATATATAAATGCTGGTTTTCTTTTCACTCTTAAATTCAACTCCAAGCTTCTTCTGCCAGGCTTCCCACTCATCAATGGGACTCCCTCCTCCACACACCAAGTGCTGTTCCAAGGTGCTGGGGTCTAATGTGGAGCCAATATTTGGGGAGGCCTTACAAGTTTCTGCCCAGGCTTATCACTGATAAGCTGCCCATCATCCGAGCCACCATGGTCCCCTGAAGTCTACTGCGTCTGTGAATTCTGTGTCAAATTAGGGACATAAGAACCTATCTAAAATCTCATTTTCCTAGGGATCCCATGGGGCCAGTACCTATTTCTGTCCCCTCCCAAATGTTCTGCCAGGGAGTGAAATGTGGGTCCTCATCCCTCTCCTTTATCCCGCTCCTTCCCAGTTTTAGGCATTCTCTACTTCGTTCCTTACTACTCTCATTTCTTTACCCTTCAAGGACATCTGTTAGAACCACTTTAATGAATTTAGGCCAGACTCACTAACCTGTGGCTGGCGGAAGTTTTGGGTTGACTCATGCAGTATTTTTTGTTTGTTTAAATGAAATTAGTTACCAGCATTTAAAAATTGGATGAGTTCACATAAAAATCTATAATTCTAATTTCCTGTGGAAATTTGGCAAAAACGGGCTTCTACTGCATGGCAATTACCAGTTGGGGCAGAGAAGGGCTGTCCCACCAGGGGCTCTGTCTCTGCTCAGGCCCAGCCCCGCCCACTTCACCAATTAGTTAACAGCACCTGCCTGACCTGAAGAGCATTGACTTTGGGGTGCTAGGTGGTCTTTCACAAAAGCCAGGGGGAGGGGCTGCTTGGGAGGATATTGACCCTAGAACATACTAGTATGTATAGGCCAAGATGAGGGAGTATAAAATCTGGTTATCTTTGCTCCACATTCACAATAAAAAATAGCTACCACATTCAGGGATTGCATGGAAGCCTAGGCCCCTCCCAGAAGCAATGCCATTTAATCCTTGCAGAAACCATGTGACAGAAGGACTATTAATCCCATTTTACGGATGGGAAGACTGAGGTTCTGAGAAAAATGAATTGGCCAAGTCACAAAACTAATAAATAGTAGACCTTGAAATGCAAGTATATGTGACTCTGCTACTGGGTTATATGGCCTTTCGGTACATGGACATCTGTGGCCCTTCTTCAAGGGATTAAAGGCACCGAAATTAACTGCCAAGTTTAATGAGATCAGCCTGAATCAGAGGTGAAATCACCTTGGCACGAAGTGAAAACCAGTGCCTTCCTCCACTCCTGCTCCCTCCAGAAGGAGGCTATTTTCTAAACACCTCTTGAAGAGCAGCAGTTATTCAATAGATGTGTTAATTTTATTTTTTATTTATTTATTTTTTTAAAATATGTTTTATTGATTTTTTACAGAGAGGAAGGGAGAGGGATAGAGAGTGAGAGTTAACAACAACAAAAAGCTTTGAGATTTTTAATTTGTTTGTTTTTTGGTGTGTGTGTAAATTCATAGAAGTAGAATACTACCGAATATGATAAACTTTAAGGTTGACAAACTAATGAATTCAGAATCAAGCATTTAATCAAACTTGTAGGTTTGAATTTGCATATGTATAGTGTGATGAATTTCACATTGTCTAATAAGAGTAAAAATTTATATTTTATTAGCATTTAGTTATATATTTTGAAACAATAATTGATGCTTCATAAACTTATAATGAAATTTTCTCTCATGAATTCAAGCTAAAAATATAATGATCTATGTTGTGGTTAAGTAATGTTTTAAGATATTTTTTAAATTGGTTTTTTTTTAGAGGTACATATTGAAAGAAATAAATTGATATGCTGTGAGGGAGTTCCTTCAAAACAGTGCAACTGTTTAGTATCACACATGAAAGAAAATTAGATTATTGAATAACAGATAAGGAGGCTATAGATGCTGATGGAATTATAATTCCATTTCTAGATAATATAGATGGGAAACTTCATGCAATTAATTTTGTACAGTCTGTAAAAAACAACAACAACCTAACCCTGACAACTAGATTGATTTTTCAGTAGCTATAATGAGTTGATTTTAGAAACACAGTAATAGTGTTTCCTTTTGGTGGTTGGGGGACCCAGGAAAAAAACCTGTGAAATTTTACTATGTGAAACAGTTCCTTAGTTAATTTTAATGATTTGTCAGTTGTTGTTTTTTCTGACTGAGGTTATTCTCTGGTATTCAGCGAATCTAGATTTTAAACCCTGCCAGATATCCTAAAGCCAAACAACAAGGTCTATTGATGGCAGTTCCTAGTTCTTTTACAACTACTACTTAAGGTCTAATATTGCTCATATAAAAAGACTAGAGGCCTGGTGCACGAAATTCGTGCACTCAGGGGGGTCCCTCAGCCCAGCCTGTGCCCTCTCGCAGTCTGGGAGCCCTCGGGGGATGTCTGAAAGCCCATGGGGAGTGGGCCTACGCCAGCAGTCGGACATCCTTAGTGCTGCTGTGGAGGCGGGAGAGGCTCCCACCACCACCACTGTGCTCACCAGCCGTGAGCCCGGCTTCTGGCTGAGCAGCACTCCTCCTATGGGAGCGCACTGATCACCAGGGGGCAGCTCCTGCATTGAGCATCTGCCCCCTGGTGGTCAGTGCACGTCATAGCCACCAGTTGTTCCTCCGTTCAGTCAATTTGCATATTAGCCTTTTATTATATAGGATAATAACTAAATGGCATTTACTACATTAATGTCCTGAACTAAGGATTCATATATATTACCATTGCATACTGGAAACTGAGGCTCAGAGAGGTAAAATGACTTGCCTAACGTCACCCAGCATGTAACTGGCTGAGGTTGGTCCCAAACCCTGATCTCCTGGAGTATTCTTTCCATTGGAGACACTGGTCTCATTGCTTTGGCTTCTGCCAACTAATGTTTTACACCCACTGATATCCTTGTATTCTGCTTATTGCTAATCTTTAGTGTTGTCAATGTGGACATATTTATCAGACCTCTCAACAAAGGACATGTTAAATAACGACACTAGTACGGCATCAACAAAATTTAGACTGTGATAAATTCTACATGACCAGTTGCTTTAATAAAGTTTTAAGGAAACTAAATGGGAGTGAGTACCTATAGATTAAAAGAGACAAGAGACAGACCAACCAAATGCTTTGTGTTTTGAAACTTGTTTGAATCCTGATTCAAATAAAGCAACTGAAAAAAAACATTATTAACCAATCAGGAAAATTTAAACAATGGATATTTAATGGTATTAAGGAATTGTTAACTTTTACATGATGCTGGTATTGTGTGTGGTTAAGTATCTAATATGTAAAGATATTTTTAAAAATCGTTATTTATTAGAAGTACATACTTAAAGAGATAAATTAATATGCTGTTAGAGAGTTCCTTCAAAACAGTGCAACAGGTGGAGATGATTGGTCTTTAGTTGGTAATTGTTGAAGCTGTGCTTGGGGCACCTGAGGGTTCATTATATTATCCTGCCTACTTTTGAGTCTGTTTCACATCTTCCACAAAAGAATGCATTGTAGCCCCACCCGTGTGGTGCAGTGGTTGACAGTGGACCCATGAACCAGGTCAGGGGTTTAATTCTGGTCAGGGCACATGCCTGGTTGCAGGCTCATCCCCAGTAGGGGGCGGGCAGGAGGCGGCCGATCAATGATTCTCATCACTGATGTTTCTATATCTCTCTCCCCCTCTCTTTTCCTCTCTGAAATCAATAAAAACATATAAAATATTTTTTTTAAAAGAATGTATTGTTCAACTATGACCCCAGAGTAGAACATTCCTTTGATTTTAAATGGTATAATGCCTCATTTCAAGAATGCCTCTGAAGGGCACTAGAAATAATCTATCCAATCTCCACGTCCCCTTCCTTTAATTTTGGGCACAGAGTGGGAGGTGAGGGAGTGGTGATGGGGGTGGGGGAGGGGGGTTGTTCTCTCCTCCTCCCCCTTCCAGGGTCCAGTTGCAAGCTGGATAACCTCCAAAAGATTTCTAATCTTTCCTAAACTAAAGCCTGAATTAGGGGGTGAGGGAGGGGGTAGATGTATAGGGAAAAATGTCGGTTGACAGCATTGTTTAATCTTTGGTCTTGATTTTGCTAGTTAATCACTTTGTGGTCACAGAGCAAACGAACGTATACCTTTAATTTTTCTGCTCACGTGACAATGTTTTTGTTTTAGGGTCCTTTCTGCTGTACAGGAAATTCCCGGAGAGCTGACGTCACCACCCCCGGTTACAGTAATTACTGTATTGACGCTACTTGTTTTCAAAGCTTACAAAGTTGCGGTGCCGCGTCAGGACAGTTTCAGAGTTCAGACTTAAGTCATTATTTTTCTGTGATTTGATCTTCGGGCAGCGTTGACCCTGGAGCCCTGAAAAGAGCTGGATTTCTTTTTTTAGATCCCAGTTGATCTATTTCCCAGGTTGTGTCCCGGGCATAAAGCAGAGCAAGCGCTACACTCACACCCCCGGTAGGGGAACCACTGGCAGCGTTTACGGCCGCAGTGCGCCTGCGCAGCTGGTTCCCACCAACTCGCCCGCCATTCCCCGTCCGGCTAGCAGGGGGCGCTGTGACGCAATGCACCAGGCCTCTCCCTAGGGCTCCGGAACCGAGTGCAAAAGGGCAGGAGGCGAGGCGGGCTGAGGGGCGTTCTATCCCCGAGAGCGCTGGTCTCTATCACCCTTTGTCCTCCAGCCTCCCGGGGGCACTGGGCCTGCGGGCCTGGTTGCTAGGCGGAAGCGGGGCGCGGCGGTGGCCGCGGCGGCGGCCCGGGCGTTTGAAAAGCGGCTTCGCAGGCGGCAAAAGGTCCTCAGGCGGCGGGTCGCTCCGGGTTGCCGACTGGCCCGGCGGGTGGCAGAGCCGCCGTTTGCCTTGAGTCGGGCAGGGTTAGGAGGAGCCGGGCTGGCGGCCCGGGGTCGGGGAGCCGGGCGCGCTTCAGGCGGCGGCGGCGGGGCCGGGCCGCGGAGCGGGGGGCGGGCGGCGGGGTCGGGAGCGAGCGGTGGGGGCCCCGCCGGGGGTCGCGGGTCCCCCGAAACTCACCCGGGCCCCTTCCCTCCAGCAGACCCCGCCTGCGGGCCGCAGCCCGCGACCATGGTCTCCAAGTCCGACCAGCTGCTCATCGTCGTGTCCATCCTGGAAGGTGAGCGGCCCGGGACTTCCTTTTGCAAGTGCTGCTTCCTGAGTGTTCACCGGGGTTGTGCGGACCCCGAGGACCTTGTCATCCCCGCCTCCGTGGTCCCCAAAGACTGGCTCAGAGCCGTGCGCGGGGAGGCCTGCTGGGCAATTGATTTGAACGTCTCCCGGGAGTCGGGGCGCCGGGAAGGAGAGGTGGCATTTAGCGCAGCCCCGGGAGGTGGGGGGTGGAGAAACGATTTCCAGCCGCAGCCTGTCGACGACATTCGCTAGGAGCCGAGGCTGTGCCTGCTCCGCACGTTCTGTTCAGCCGCCTCCCGGCAAAGGCGTTTTTGCAAGAACTCTCCTTGCACTCGAATACGTGTTGCTGCCGTTTCGGAGGCGTGTGGAGGCCACGGCCTTTGCAAGGCTGCACGGAGGGCGGGGGGGGGGGGGTTGTCAGGAGGGCCTGTTCCGCACGCCCCGGCGTTGGGGTTTGTGGGAGAGCCCTGGAGGGTCAGGCTCTGTGCTGGGAATGGAGGGGTACCCCGGTGCTGGTTCTAACAGCTGGGGATGGCGGATGTGTCCACAAACAGTTCATGGGGTCAGGCAGAGGGGTGACCTCCTTTGGGGGAAGCCGGGGGAGGCTGCCTGGAGCAGGTGAAGTTTATTTGGGTCCCAAAGGCTGGTTAGGGACTTGTCAGGTGACAAAAGGGAGGAGGGGGCCTTCCGGGCAAAGGGAAGCGCCAAGTGCACGTAAGGTGTCGAAAAGCAAGGCATGTTCTGTGATTTTTTTTTGTGTGTGTGTGGGGCGAGGGGGAAGTAAACACGGTCAACCCCTATTTTTTTGAGTTTTGGAACAGTTGAATGACAAGAACCCATAGAGCACCGGTTCTCAACCTGTGGGTCGTGAACAATGAAAATACATCCTGCGTATCAGATATTTACATTACGATTCATAACAGTAGCAACATTACAGTGATGAAGTAGCAACGAAAATCATTTTATGGTGGGGGGTCACCACAACCTGAGGAGCTGTATTAAAGGGTCGCGGCATTAGGAAGGTTGAGAACCACTGCAAGAGTTGTGATGGCGTTAACTGTCAGGTCGCTAATTGTTGGAAGGCACAGGACTGAAAGCCCATTGTCATGTTGTTAACGAAAGCTTTTGGACTTGGCGCCGTATCCCATGCTGTGAGGAAATGGGAATAGGAGGCACCCCCTTTCCATTCAAGGATGTGGGTCTTGTCCACTTGGGAGTATCAAGTCAGCGTGCGGGCAGCACCCACTATGTTGGGGTAGACTATATGGAACGTGTAGGATATGAGCTATAAACGTAGGTTTTGGGGATGGGTGGGAAGTGCTCTGAATGGTAAGCAAGCTTTAGATAGGTGGACAGAAGGGAGTCATTCCAGGCAATGGACAACGAGGGCGAGGTGGGCAAAGGAACAGGGTAGGTGGGACGGTGAAGAGGTAGCAGAGGAGCAGGGTAGGTAGGGGAAGGTGGATATTTAGGAATGTGGTGAGACATAAGCTTGTGTAACTAGAGTGAACAGGCCTTGGAGGCTCTTGAAAGACAAATAGTTGAATGTGCTAAATAACAGAGAGGCGAGATACATTCCCAGGCAGGATAAAGTATTTTTGCAAGTTGAGTAGCAGCGTGCAGGGTGGAGAACCTGGAATCAGGGATGTCAGTTAGGTGTTGCCACAAACAAACCTGAAGCTGGCATTTGGTCCTCCCTCCAAACTGTCCCTCCTCTGGTGTTTGTATTTCTATTCATCATAACCACGCCATTGCCTCAAGCCCGGAACCTGGGAGTCCTCCTCTTCCTTTCTATTCCCAACTTCCAAATTGTCACCAAGAGTTGTTGCTTTCATTTTTAAAGTAATAGCAGATGGTTCAGAGAAACTTTATATGAATGAGCTTCCATTGTGAGTGCCCTGCTTTGGGGTCCTCATTATCTACCTAATCTATTGTAATAACATTTCATAAGTGTTTTCTTCCTTTCTAGAAAATACCTCCCGTCCACGTTACTATCTGGGGATGCTCTTTCTGAAATGCACATCCCATTTTCTTAAAATCCTCCGGTGTCCTAAAGGATAATGTCTGTATTTCTTAGAATAGCATACCCTTTATGGGAGACCACTTGCATGCCTTTCAGCCTTTCTCCCTTCCTGCCACCTATTCATGCGTTCCCAGCCCTTCAACTATATGGATTGAACTGCTTGCAATTTCTTGACTACACTTCTGGAAATGCCCTTTCTTTAAAAGAAAATGATCGGGTTTCTACCACGAGCAGAATTTGGGCCATGTACCGAATTTTAAGGATGAAAAAGACAGGGTTTCTGTTCTCAAGGTGTTCCTTGTCTTTGGGATGAGGCAGGCACCTAGTTATTATACTACGTAGCCTCTGTTCTCAAGCTTATTGGAGGTCATCCTCATGATAGTCTGAAAGTATAGGTTTTTTGACATGTGAAATTCATTTGGGGAACCTAGTGATATTTTAGAGCAACTGAAAATGAGGTCCAGAGAGAAACTTCTGTGAGTGCTAATTGGGAGAGCCAGGCCATATGTAGCAAGATTCCTAATGGGGGAGTTTCAGTGAGGGTCGCAGGTGAAATTCACAGGTTTTCAATCAAGGTCTTAGCTTAATTGCTAACTAAGCTTGTACCAGGGTGAGTAGCAGCAGGGATGAATTTCCTCACAGTGACTAAAAGACCCTTAACCAAGATCTGCCTCACCAGACCTACAAACAGGTTGACTGTAGATTCTTGCTGCTGCTTCCTTAGTTCTTTAGCTTCCTGCTTTTAGTGTTTTATTTCTTTCCACTAGACCTTCCATTCCTTGAGGGCAAGTACTCTGTTTTACTTTTTTTTGCATCCCATCATCTGACATAATACCTGTGTCTGAATATGCCTTTGGTAAACAGTGAAGAAACAGGGTCAGGCAGTACAAATGAAATGTGATGTGTAGATAGATAGAATATTTAATATTTCTTGCAAATATACAACATTGTCCTTGAGAACAAAATGAATGAATACATGCGTCTATTTTCCTTAGCTAATTTGCAAAATTTTCTTAACTGTTAACAAAAAAATCAATATACAGATAAATTTGTTTTATTTGCCAATTTGATTATTTCCTAACTCTCCAGATGACTTTGTTCTATATTAAGTACTGGTATAGTAATATTTGAAATTGGTGTAATGACAGTTTTTAATTCTTTATTTCTAAATGTTGAGATTATTGCTGCTCAAGGTGTGAACAAAGGGCAACAGCATTGACATTAACTGTGATCTTGTTAGAATGCAGACTCTCAGGCCTTCCCTATACCTATTGAACCTGTATCTGCAGTTTTACAGGGTCCCAGGTGATTCGTAGGTACATTCATAGTGTTTGAGAAGCACTAGTTTATAAATTATAGCTTTAAACTTGATTAATGTTTTTTATGAACACTGATTTTGAGTGCATATGTGCATATGTGTGTTAGCAAGGTAGTTTATTGAATATATGAAAAGTCAGCTACTCTTTATATATCACTTTTTAAAGTACATGCTAAATAATAATATTTGATTTTCGTATGCTTTTTTAGTTTTGTTAATCCTCACCTGAGGATATTTTTTTTTTTTTTAGAGAGTGGGAGGGAGGGGAATATATATATATATATATATAGAGAGAGAGAGAGAGAGAGAGAAAGAAACATGGGTGTGAGCGAGACATGTCAATTGGTTGCCTCCTGCACACGCCCAGGAATCAAACCCAGGACCCTTCGGGGGCGCAGGCCATTGCTCTAACCACTGAGCAGCCAACCAGCCAGGGCTGAGTTTTGTATACTTTTGATTAATCTATATACTCTTTTTTCCCCAGGTCGCCATTTCCCCAAACGTCCAAAGCATATGCTTGTAGTAGAAGCAAAGTTTGATGGAGAACAGTTGGCTACTGATCCCGTGGACCACATTGACCAGCCAGAATTTGCTACAGAGTTAGCCTGGGAAATTGACAGGAAAGCACTCCATCAGCACAGGTGGCTGTTATTTTCAATTTGTTCTGTTCTTTTTCAGGCTATTGTAAATAAATTTATATATGTATAAATTATAGTAATAAAAAACAACAACCCTCAAATATTATTATTAATGTGCCAGGAAATTTTGAAAGTACTTTGCAACAGTAATTCATTTAAAAATCAGAACACACTTCCGGCAGTGGCGGCTTGTGCTGCCGAGGGAAGATGGGTAAAAGTCAGAGTGGTGGTCATGGTCCTGGAGGTGGCAAGAAGGATGACAAGGACAAGAAGAAGAAATATGAACCTCCCACACCAATTAGAGTGGGGAAAAAGAAGAAGAAAACAAAGGGACCAGATGCTGCCAGCAAACTGCCACCGGTGACATCTCACACTCAGTGCCGGTTAAAATTATTGAAGTTAGAAAGAATTAAAGACTGTCTTCTCATGGAGGAAGAATTCATTAGAAATCAGGAACAAATGAAGCTTTTAGAAGAAAAGCAAGAGGAGGAAAGATCAAAGGTGGATGACCTGAGGGGAACCCCAGAGTCAGTGGGGACTTTGGAAGAGATCATTGATGACAATCACACCATCGTGTCTACATCTGTGGGCTCAGAACACTACGTCAGCATTCTTTCCTTTGTGGACAAGGACTTGGTGGAATCAGGCTGCTCCATCCTGCTCAATCACAGGTGTGTGCTGTAATTGGGGTACTGATGGATGATACGGATTCCTTGGTCATGGTGATGAAGGTGGTAAAGGCCCCGCAGGAGACCTCTGCCGACATTGGGGGGGGTTGGATAACCAAATCCAGGAAATTAAGCAATCTGTGGAACTTCCTCTCACTCATCCTGAGTATTATGAAGAGATGGGTATAAAGCCCCGTAAGGGGGTCATTCTCTATGGGCCACCTGGCACAGGTAAAACCTTACTGGCTAAAGCAGTAGCAAACCAAACCTCAGCCACTTTCTTGAAAGTGGTTGGCTCTGAACTTACTCAGAAGTACCTAGGCGACAGGCGTAAGCTCGTTCGGGAATTGTTTCGAGTTGCTGAAGAACATGCACCATCCATCGTGTTTATTGATGAAATTGAAGGCATTGGGACAAAAAGATAAGACTCAAACTCCGGTGGTGAGAGAGAAATTCAGCAAACAATGTTGGAACTGTTGAACCAGTTGGATGGATTTGATTCAAGGGGAGGCGTAAAAGTTACCATGGCCACAAACTGAATAGGAACTCTGGATCCAGCACTAATCAGACCAGGCAGCGTCGACAGAAGATTGAGTTCCCCCTGCCTGATGAAAAGACCAAGAAGTGCATCTTTCAGATCCACACAGGCAGAATGACGCTGGCTGATGATGTGACACTGGACAACTTGGTCATGGCTAAGGATGACCTCTCTGGTGCTGACATCAAGGCAATCTGTACAGAAGCTGGTCTCATGGCCTTGAGAGAATGTAGAATGAAAGTCACAAATGAAGACTTCAAAAAATCGAAAGAAAATGTTCTGTATAAAAAACAAGAAGGTACCCCTAAGGGGCTCTATCTCTAGGGAACCTCAGTTGCCTTAAAGGAAATGGTCAGGAATGCCAACCCCGGGAGAGGTGGTGGGAAGTTGCCCAGAGGAGCCCGTTCAGTTGCTCTTCATTAGCAACACATTCTGTGCCCTGAGCACCTCTCTGAGCACCACGTGTAGGAGCCCAATGTGCAGCGCTCCATTCCCAATAAAGCGAGCTCTTTCTCAAAAATAAACAAAATAATAAAAATCAGAACAACTCTCTGAAGTAGATATTATATCCCCCCACATTACAGATGAGAAACCTGAGGCCTAAGAGGTGAAGTAGCTTGTCCTGAGTCAGCTGGATAGTGGTAGAGCCCAGGCAATCCAGCACCAGAGCCTAAGTTTTTAACCACTATACCTGGCTTTTTTTTTTTTTTTTTTTTTTGCTAATGTCTGAGAGAATAGATACTTTAGAAGTGCTATAATAATGCCTACCCAATATTAAATATGCTTTGGAATTCATTGCATTTTCTATTCATTTATGGTATATTTTACCTGGCTTGCCAAGGACATATAGATATGTATATAGTATAATTATATAAAGGACGCTCTAATTAATTTTATACTTAATTTTAGACACTTCAACACTTTATTAGTATATAAAGCAGACTATAAGCTAATAGTCTCTTATTTATTTCATGAACTCTGATGAACAGAAGCAGGCAAGAACACAGATACTTTTATTTTTAAAAGGATTTAAAATATATTTCCCTCTGGGAACCACACAGTCACTTTAGTACTTGGTACTAAATCAGAACAAAATTCAAAGTTAAAAATTAGAGCAATAAGAAATTTACTCCCTTTTTTTGCTAGATCAGTCCATGGGTTTATTTATAAGGGAATTAAATTCTTAGAGAATATCAAAATTTTGTATTTGCTTTCAGTGACTTCTGGAATATTTACCTAGAGAGAGTCCTGATATAAGATATTCGTGCCTACATTGGTGATTGTCTTTACATTTTTGTTAGTGCTCACCAGTACCACTCTGAATGAATGTATAGGGTAAGAAAAAAAATACAGATAAAATGAATATATTAATGATGATTTTTGTGCCAAGTGCAGATTTCACAGTCATCTCACTAGATAAACATGATGACAAAATTGAATCAGCTTACCCCAAGAGCCAGTATAGAGATTCCAGATGCAAAAAGCCCATGCTGTACCAGTCAGGGCCATGCTTACAGGACATTGTCATGTATTACATTACGTTACTGTTGATTTTAATAGCTTATGATTTTATGGTATCTAATTCCTTTATTTTGGTTTTTAGCTATCAAAAGAACTGTAAGCCTGTATATATATTTGTAGTGATATGTGTGTGACAATATAAGAAAAACAATTTAAAATCAATCTTAATGAATAGTGGTAATTTTTTACTTTAAAAGATTTCTGTACATTACAGAAGTGTGAAACACATTGACCTAGGGCAGCCTCTTAGATGAGACACTAAGATTTTGACATGTTTTGTAAATAGTTGTTATATAGGTAAGTAGATAAAATTAATAGTTCGTGCCAGTTGAAAAGTTTTTCACAAACTATGGAATCTTGATAGTAGTAGGCAGCTTTGTCAGGGGTAATACAAAATCAGTTCAGTATTAAGTGAAAGCTGTTTTACTTATCACCTGAATTGTTATGTTACAGGCTACAGCGTACTCCTATCAAACTCCAGTGTTTTGCCTTGGATGCTTTGACTTCAGCCAAGGAAACTATAGGTTACGTTCTTCTAGACTTAAGAACTGCTCAAGAAACAAAGCAGGTATTGCCCTTTTGATGTTTATTACTGATTATGTTAGGCAGTTGTTTATTTTTCAAAATGTATCAGTCAGATTGATGAAAAGGGCAGGAATACTGGGCCTGATGGATTATGGGTTTGAAAGGCAGTTCTTATGTTCTAGTTTGTGAATTTGGTTTAGAAAATCCTGATCTTCTAATAATTTCATTGCCCTAGAGCTATCATTCTCAAAGAAACTTGTCTCTGAGCTCAAACCTATGTTACCTTGAGCTTGACATCTGCAACTCCTGGGCTTTGCTTTCAACAGTGGTCTTCTTCCACTGTCCCTTGCTTCAGTGAATGGTCACCATCTCCTTTCAGTTCTATAAGCTAGAAATATAGAAGTCTTCCTTGTCACCCTAGTTTTCTGCCTCTTTCCAGTTAGTTTTTTCCCTCCTGATTCACCTACTATTCTGCATTTTCCCTGCTGAACCTAAGCCACCATCGTTTCATACGTTGGCTGTCATACTAGCCTTCTAATTGGTTTCCCTGCTTTTTGCTCCTTGCCTTCCCTACATAATAGAGTGAACTTATTGTAGCCCACTTAATGCAATGTAAACAGCAGCCTCCTCCCACCCCACTAAAAAAAATAAAAAGAAATAAAGAGAACTCTGGGTCCTTATTTCTGTGTTAGTGCTTTTTGTTTTTGAAAATATTTTTTCTTATGTCTATTTATCTTTTAGCTTTTTGTACATTATTGACTTTAAATATATTTATTTTTAGTTTTTCTTAATGTCTTTTTTTGTCACAATTTTTTAAAGAAAGTAAAGTAAAAATTAATATCTATTTTATTTTAAAGTTCTCTATTCTTGATTTGAATCTTAAATTAGGATTCTGTGAAGAAAAATTTATCTGTTACTAACATTTTTGCTACTGATAGCATTGATATTTGCAAATGAGCCAGTCAACCTGGCCCAAATTCAGGATCATTAAAAAAAACCTGAACTTTTAAAGTGCTTTAAAAGAGGAATTGTTTATCCTCGATCCTTACTCATTACCAATCTGCTCTTCGGTCCTAAAAAGGTTTTCCTATTTTAGTCTTGAACTCAGAACCAGGGGCCATGCTTGTGCCCCAATGTTTCTCTTACCCAACTTCTCTGTTGCAACTTGCAAGTGTCCAGAAGATACTTCTATAATCACTTTGGTTACAGAGAAGGTACAGTGGGGCCTTGACTTACGAGTGTCCCGACTAATGAGTTTTTTGAGATACCAGCTGTCTCTCGGCCGATTTTTTGCATTGAGTTGACAGAGTAATTTGAGTTAACGAGCTTGGTCTCAGAACGAATTAAACTCGTAAGTCAAGGCCCCACTGTAACTCCTTTTAGGAGGAAGGTATCTGAGAGGAGGTCATTCAGAAGAGCTTCTGAATCCTCTTGGCATTTCTTTTCTCATCTCGTGTTTTTTTTTTTTTTAAATATATTTTTATTGATTTCAGAGAGGAAGGGAGAGGTAGAGAGACATAGAAACATCAATGATAAAAGAGAATCATTGGCCAAAACCAGTTTGGCTCAGTGGATAGAGCGTCGGCCTGCGGACTGGGGGGTCCCAGGTTCGATTCCAGTTAAGGGCATGTACCTGGGTTGCGGGCACATCCCCAGTGGGAGATTTGCAGGAGGCAGCTGATCGATGTTTCTCTCTCATCGATGTTTCTGACTCTCTGTCTCTCTCCCTTCCTCTCTGTAAAAAATCAATAAAAAATATATTTAAAAAAAAAAAAGAGAGAATCATTGATCGGCTGCCTCCTGCACACCTTCTATTGGGGATTGAGCCCACAACCCGGGCATGTGCCCTTGACCATAATTGAACCTAGAGGACCCTTCAGTCTGCAGGCTGATGCTCTATCCACTGAGCCACACCAGCTAGGGCACCTTATTTCATTCTTGAGGATAGTTCGTCATCATATTAGTGATTGGAAGTTAAGGAGAAGTGTTTTAAAATTATATTATTTTTAGGAAAACCAATTGTTGTCTTGCTTACTCTTTTGTTTGCCAGCAGAAATATATGAAGTTGGCCAGTAAAATATTTGAAATTAAAAGTAATGTTATTTTCTGTAAATAAATATCCATATACATAAAAGCCCAGCGGTGGAATGACCAGAACAACCAGTGGCTATGACGCGCAGTGCAGCAGCCAATCGGCTGATCCTGGCCCCGATTGACCCTCCCAACCTTCTGCAGCCCTTCCCCCCAACGGCCCCGCTCCCAATTGGCCCCCATCGGGGCGGGCTGGCCTACACCACCCTTGCATGAATTCATGCACTGGCCTCTAGTAAACAGAGAAATCCAGATTTGTTTTTCTGAGTTATATAATAAAAATAGATCATAAAGTCTGCAAGTAGTTAAAAATATTATTTTTCAGGCTTGTACTAAAAATTAGAAAATATTTGTCATAAGGATAATAACAAATTTTTTCTTAAAAAGTACCACATGAAAGTACCTCAACAAATATAGGTATTTTTGTCTTAAAAAAAACCAAAAACTCAACTTGGTTGTGAATTTTTAAAAATCTGTGGCCTAGTTAATCCTATTTTGCTTACAAACAACTTACTGAACCAAAACAGCAGTTTTTGGTTTTGGTCAGTGTAAGCACCAGACCATGCCTTGATAGAACAGTGGTCAGAGTAAGAATGCTGTTTCTAGGTATTGAGATGGTGCCCTGCTGACCAGTGGTTCCTGCACTGATGATACACGTGGTCCTGGACCATGAAATTTTGAAGGCTGGTGTTGGTACTAGAATTTCTGAGGTTACTTTGGGGGTTTACTCAGGTAATTTAAGATACCTCATCTTGTGAGAAAGACTTTATATGTTAACACATTGCGGGCAGATCACGGACATTCTCATGTTTTCATATTACACAGTGTTTTACATAAATGTGAAAGGCACGTCTTAAAATTACATACCCATTGCATTTTGAAGTTATTTATTACATGCTCTTACAAGCTAATGTCTTTTTAAAGTATGATACTTCGTAAAACGTTTTTTGTACTCATTCAATAGAAACTTATCTGGCCACTGGGTAAAGCTAGCAATAAAACTACTGGTGCGCAATGTGTTAATGTCAGTCAAATACATGGTTCAAAATTCAGAACTCTGAATAGTATATTAGACTTTTAGTATTTTGTTAATTTTTTGTTATTGTTAATATTAAACTTTCTTTTCCTTGTTTGATATAAACAGAACAAAGCAGAAATGTGCCAGGCAGAAAAGGTATAATACAAAAAGTGAGAAATTATGGTTTAGGGAAATGCAAAATTGGTAGTCTTTTTTTTATTGTTTAAGGGATGGGAGATTGGGGACATAAGAGTAAAGATAGAAAGAAATATAGTTTTCTTCAATATATTACCTGTTGAAGCATAGGAATAGGAGCAAGAAAGACACCCTAAACTTTACTTCAAGAGGAAATTCTGTTAGCTTCATAAGCAGGATTAATTTCTTTTGAAGAAAATGTGGAAAAAAATATTTTAATAGAGGAGGAAGTACTGAGAAATGACAGGAAATATATTTAGAACCTTATAGAATATTTCCCACTACTGTTTACTCCCTATTAATGTTTTATATTGTTTTGTTTTGCTATTATTCTCCAGGCACCAAAATGGTACCAGTTGCTGAGCAATAAATACACCAGGTTCAAGTCTGAGATACAGATAAGCATTGCTTTGGAAACAGATTCAAAGGCACCAGTGGATAGTTTTAAGGCAAAGGGAGCTCCCCCTCGAGATGGAAGAGGTTTGTGCATTATTTCTAAGGACATTCTCTGAGAAGTCACATCTGTGGATTAGAACTTTAGGAAGGGTGGTGGGGGTATATGCAGGAAGATATTTGCAGGAGTGTAAACTGATTTTAATCTATCAGGCAAATGTTGTGACATTGTTACACAAGCAGCTGTTGTTGTTTTTAGCTCTTGTTCACATAGCTTAGAAATTAGGAAGTATTTTCTTTTTTTAAATTTGATATATAACAGAACAAAGTAGAATTTTGCATTGTTTTTAAAAATTGGGAAATTTTCTTCCTGGGATGAGTGCAGGAAAGCCAAAAATAGTTATGCTCTTCTCTATTAACTATAGTTTAACAAAACTTTCATTTTTGTTTTTTAATTACTAAATTTTATTTTTTAGAGCAGTTTTAGGTTCACAGAAAAATTGCAAAGTATAGAGTGTTCCCATATAATTCTGTCCTCACACAAAACACCTCCCACATTATCAGCATCCCTCACCAGAGTGATACGTTCATTATAATTGATGAATCTACATTGACACATCATTATCACCCAGAGTTCATAGTTTATGCTAGGGTTCATTCTTCGTGTTGTACATTCTATATGTTTTGACAGATGTGTAATGACATAACTATTCTGTTAGATACTATAATCTGCTCTAAAAACCCTCTGTGCTCTGCTTGTTCATCACTTCCTACCCTCTGACCCTGGGCAACCACTGATATTTTTTTATCTCCATAGTGTCACATTGTTAATTATACTGTATTAGCCTTTTCAGATTGTACTCTTTCACTTAGTAATACACATTTAAGGTTCTTCCATGTGTATTCATGCCTTGATAGCTCACTTCTTTTTAGCACTGAATAATATTGCTTTATTTGGATGTACCACAGTTTATTTGTTCACTCACTGAAGAACATCTTGGTTGCTTCCAAGTTTTGGCAATTAGGAATAGCCATTCAGCTATCCTATGCCTTTTGATTGGAGCATTTACTCCATTTACATTTAGGGTTATTATTGAGAGGTACTTATTTATAGACATTTTAATTCTGCATGGCTAGGTTTCTCTCTGTTTCTTCTCAGCAATCCCTTACAGCAGTCCCTTTAGCATTTCTTGTAATGCTGGCTTGGTAGTGATGAACTCCTTTAGCCTTTTTTTTGTCTGGAAGCTCTTTAGTTGACCATCTATTTTGAATGATAGCCTTGCTGGATATAGTAATCTTGGTCTCAGATCCTTGCTTTCCATTACCTTGAGTACTTCATGCCATTCCCTTCTGGCCTGTAGAGTTTCTGATGAGAAATCAGGTGGCAGCCTTATAGGAACTCCTTTGTAGGTAACAGTTTTCTTTTCTCTTGCTGCCTTTTAAGATTCTCTTTTTGTCTTTAATTTATGGCATTTTAATTATGATGTGTCTGGGCGTGGGTCTGTTTGGGTTCTTCTTGTTTGGGGTTCTCTGTGCCTCCTTAACTTATGTGACTTTTTCCTTTACTAGGTTAGGGAAGTTTTCTACCATTATTTCTTCAAACACCTTCTCTATTCCTTTCTCCCTTCTGCCTCATCTGGCATCTAATATTGTTACATTTCACATTGTCCCACAGCTCCCTTAAGCTGTCCTCCTATTTTTTAACTAGCTGTCTTCCTGTTTTTTAACTTTTTTCTTTTTGGTTCTCTAATTGAGTGATATTTTCTACTCTGTCTTCTAATTCACTGATTCAATCCTCAGCTTCCCCTAATCTGCTGTGTATTCCTTCCAATGTGTTCTTTATTTGTGTTATGTCATTCTTTATCTCAGACTGTTCTTTTTTCATAGTTACTATATCTTTTTTCATACTGTTGAGCATTTTTACCATCATTACTCTGAACTCTGTTTCAGTTAAATTTCTTATCTCTGCTTCATTTATCTCTTCTTCTGGAGAATTCTCTAGTTCTTTCATTTGAGAGTTGTTTTTTTGCTTCGTCATTTTAGTTGTCTGTCTGGGTTTGTGACTATGTTTTAGGTAGATCCTCTACACCTCTCAATCTCTAGTGCAGGACAGTATTAAAGGCTGTTTCTGACTAATTGGATCAGGCAAAGACTCAAAGCCTCCAGAGACCGCCTCTGTCTACAGACTATTAGTATTCCAACTTCAATTACCCCCACGCAGTCGTCCTCAGGTGAGAATTTTTTCAACAGCGTGGGGCAGTTGCTTCTGCCTGGAGACTAATTGTTACTTTTAATCTCTTAAGTGGCCTCAGGACAAGGTGTTTTCCAATAGGGTGTGTCCACTGTCTTCCTGCCAGGCAAGGCAGATGTCTGTGTGGGAAAGATGTCCTCCTCTGAGTGAGGGAATGACTTAACCCAGAAAACTTGGGGCATCTGCTTTCTGAGCTCTATCCCCCGAGTCCCGTCCTGGGTTCTGCTCTCACAGCTCCTGTCACCTTCACCCTCCCTCTGCCAGAGCACAAGGTGGGTGGCTCCACAGGGAATTTTTGTGCATTGGTTCTTCAAGAGCAGTGATGGCGAACCTTTTGAGCTCGGCGTGTAAGCATTTTGAAAAACCCTAACTTAACTCTGGTGCTGTGTCACATATAGAAATTTTTTGATATTTGCAACCATAGTAAAACAAAGACTTATATTTTTGGTATTTATTTTATATATTTAAACACCATTTAACAAAGAAAAATCAACCAAAAAAATGAGTTAGCGTGTCACCTCTGATACGCGTGTCATAGGTTCTCATCACTGTTCAAGAGGGTGCTTGAACTTTCAGCTGCCACTGCCTGGCAGATAGTACCCCACTGCTTTTCACAGCTAGATGTTATGTGGGTACCCTCCTCAGTTTGGTGCTCTCTGCTGGGAAGCCCAGCTTCAGGATTAGATCCCAGAGTTCTCATTGGCACCCCCCTGCCCCCCCAGCTGAGATATCTCTCCGGGATTTCAGTTGCTGTCTGTGGGTGCCATGCCTTTCGAGTCTCTGCCCCTTCTACCAGTCTCTGTGTGGCCTCCACCTTCGGTCCTTGGGTATCAGGGTTCTCCTGTGAGTTTTCCGTTGGTTATTCAGGAAGCCTTTCCGTATTTCAGTTGTAATTCCAGCTTGTTCCTAGAGCATGTCCGTGCAGCATCCACCTACTCTGCCGCCATTTTTAATCTCCTTGGCAATTAGAAATAAAGTTGTTATTAATAACCCTGTGAAGGTTTTTGTGTGGATATAAGTTTTCATTTAATTTGGGTAAATACCAAGGAGTATGATTACTGAATCATATAATTAGAGTATGTGTTGTTGTTTTTTAAATCCTCACCCGAGGATATGTTTTTATTGGTTTTTAGAGAGGGAGGAAGGGAAAGAGAAACATCGATGTGAGGGAGAAACAGTGATTGGTTGCCTCCTGTAAGCACCTCAACTGGGGATCAAACTGCAACCTAGGTATGTGCCCTGACCAGGAATCAAACCAGCCACCTTTTGCTGTAGGGGACAAGGCTCCAACCCACTGAGCCACCCAGCCAGGGCAAGTATGTTTAGTTTTATAAGAAATTGCCAAACTATCTTCCAAAGTGGATGTACCATTTTGCATTTCCATTAGCAATGAATGAGAAGAGTTTCTGTTGCTACACATCATGTCAGCATTTTGTGTTGTTGGTGTTTTGAATTTTGGCCATAGATGGGTAGTGGTATCTCATTGTTTTAATTTGGAATTCTGTAATGATATATAGTGTTAATATCTTTTCATATGATTACTTGCCATCTGTGTATCTTTTTTGGTGAGGTGTCTCTTCAGGTCTTTTGCCCAATTTTAATCAGTTTATTTTGTTGTTGTTGTATTTTAAGAGTTCTTAATTTATAGTTCATTATCATATATCTCTTTTGCAAATATTTTTCCCAGTCTCTGACTTGTTTTCTCATTCTCTTGATATTGTCTTTAGTAGAGCAGAAGTTTTTTTAAATGTTAATGAAGTCCAGCTCATCACTTCTTTCATGGATCGTGCCTTTGGTATTATATCTAAAAAATCATCACAATATCCAAAGTCATCTAGTTTTCTCCTGTGTTTTCTTTCAGGAGGAGTCTTACAGGATTTTGTTTTACATTTAGGACTATGATCCTTTTTGAATTAATCTTTGTGAAGGCTGCAAGGTTTGGGTCTAGATTCATTTTTTTTACATGTGGATGTCCAGTTTTTCCAGCACCATTTGTTGAAAAGACTGTCTTTGCTCATATTGCCTTTGCTCCTTTGTCAAATATTATTTGACTACCACAGTCTTGATTACTGTAGCTTTAGAGTAAGTCTTGAATTTGAGTATGTATGAATCCTCCAGCTTTTGTTGTTCTCCTTCAGTATTAAGTTTGCTATCTGGGTCTTTTGCTTGTCATATAAGCTGGAGATCAATTTATCAATGTCCACAAAATAACTTGCTGGGATTTGTATTGGGATTGCATTGAATCTATAGATCAAGTTGGGAAGAACTGACATCTTGACAATGTTGAGTTGTCTTGTATGAGCATGGAATATCCCTTCATTTATTTAGCTCTTTTTTCATTTTGTTCATTAGAGTTTTGTAGTTTTCCTCATATAGATTATGTACATATTTTGTTAGATTTATTTGTTTTGGATGTTGAAGTAAATGATGGTTTTTGGTTTTTTTTCAAATTCCACTTGTTCATTATTGGTTTATAGGAAAGCAGTAGGCTTTTGTATATTAATCTTGTATCCTGCAGCCTTTTTAATAGCTTATTTTTGGTTCCAGGAGTTTTTTGTTGAGTCTTTCCATAGAAGAATAATCTACATAGTCATATCATCTGTAGATAAAGACAGTTTTATGTCTCCCTTTCCAGTCTGCATGCCTTTTATTTCTTTTGCATGCACATTAGCTATGACTTCTTTTATAATACTGAAAAGTTGCAGTGAAAGGGGACTTCCTTTCCTTTTTCCTGATCTTAGTGGGAAAGGTTCTCACCATTGAGTATGGTAGCTGTAGATGTTTTATAGATGTTCTCTGTCAAGTTGAAGAAGTCACTATTTGTAGTTTTCTGAGAGTGTTTTATCATGAATGAACGTTGAACTTTATCAAATGCTTTTCTGCATCTATAGACATGATCATGTAGTTTATCTTTTTTAGCGTGTTGATGTGATGGATTACATTAATAGATTTTTGAAATTCCTTGTGGTGGTGGTGTATATTTTTTTTTATACATTGCTGGACTCGATTGGCTAATATTTTGTTAAGGATTTTTGCGTCTATGAGAGATACTGGTCTGTTGTTTTCTTGTAATGTGTTTTTCTGGTTTCAATGATAGAAAGTATTCCCTTTGCTTATATTTTTTGAAAAAGATGGTAGACAGTTGGTATCTAGTTGATGCTTGAACAATCTGGGGCAGCAATTTTCAACCTTTTTCATCCCATGGCACACATAAACTAATTACTAAACTTATGTGGCACACCAAAAAATGTATTTTTTGTTGATCTGACAAAAAAAAATTGGTAAATTTTTTATTTTTTCACACTGGGCGGTTATTATTGTGTTGGCTGTTATCATTTTTTTTTTTTTTTTACCGTCTAAGGGAAAAGATCAGTGCCTCTGACTAAGTAGTCAGGTATTGCATGTTATAAAAATTCTTGTGGCACTCTGGTTGAAAATCAATGCTGTTGGGGATAGGGCACCGACCTCCATGCCATAGAAAATCTGTGTTTTACCTAAGTTGGTCTTCAGCATAGTTGGTCTTCAGCATAGTTGGTCTTCAGCATAGTTGGATTCCCAGTTGTGGATCTAAAATATAGTTGACAGTTGAACAACATGAGTTTGAATCTGCATATAGGTCGCCCTCTCCATACTGAAACCTATTTGATTATATCGGTTTTCTTCTCAAAATTATTCCATGTTTTTCTCTTATTCTTAGAAAACTATCCAGATGTTTTTTTAAACATGGCATTGCAAAAGACCCTGATATGGCCTCTATGTATCCCCCCAGCCTCACCTCTTTCATGTCAGTCCTCCAGCACATCAGTCTGTAACCACATGCTTTCTCTTGCTTCTGAGTGTACATATTGCTCCTTCTGCCTAGAACACTTTTCATTTCCTTATTCTCTATCCAGTCACCTGTCTCTTTTTAGCCAAATTTTGCTTATTTTTCAGTTCCACTTTAGATTCACTTCTGTCAGAAAACCTGCAATGCCTTTTCTGTGTGGATTATTAAATTGAAGTTTTAAAAAGGTTGCCTTGCCCTAGCTGGTTTGGTTCAGTGGATGGAGCATCGGCCTGCAGACCGAAGGGTCCCAGGTTCAGTTCCCGTCAGGGGCACGTGCCTGGGTTGTGGGCTCGATCCCCTGTGGGGGGCGTGCAAGAGGCAGCTAACCAATGATTTTTCTCTCATCATTGATATTTCCATCTCTCTCTCTCCCTCTCCCTTCCTCTCTGAAATCAATAAAAGTATATTTTAAAAAAATGTTGCCTTATTTCAAAATATGACTTTATGTGCAGAAAGAAAATGGTGGTTATATATAAAAATCAATGGAAACCTTACTGAGATGTGAACTGTATCCAGAAAACTAGCAAGCAAATAAAACAGTATGCTCGGCTTTCAGAATCTTTTAATGGTTTATGGCAAACTACAATGTAATTTAATTGTGTCTTTCTCCATAAAGTACCTGCTAGCCTGCCTGGACTTGACCCCAAGGACATTGTGGCCGTGCTGAATGAGGAAGGAGGCTACCATCAGATCGGACCAGCAGAGTCTTGCACTGACTTCTTCCTTATGTCAGTAACCATAGCGTTTGCCACCCAGTTGGAGCAGGTGACACTTTTTCTTAGTCATAGCTTAATAATTGTCGGGTCTGGTATTTACAGATTAGCCTGTTAGTGTTTCTTGGATACAGCACAGCAAGCAACCTGAATATTGTATACTTTCTTCAGTCCCATGTAGGTGACACAGGGGCCCAGGTTGCTCTGTGAACACAGTTTGCATCACAGCTGAGGGACATAGAACTTGGGGAATACACCACTTTTATTGTTTGTAATCTTGGTCTTTGTCCGGAAGACATGTTACCTCAGCTCAAGGTTACTAGCTGCATAAACAGCCCTAGGAAATGGGCGAGGTTGGTCAGGGCCTTGCAGTCTTGGCACAGTCAGAAAAAATGTGCAGGGGTGCTTGGGGCCCATGGCAGATTGCCTCGGTCCAAATGGCTCCCCTTGAAATTCTGTGTTATTCCATACATTGTCCTTCTCAGGATCAAGCCCAGTGTTTTATGAAATTATGTTGACCTAGAGCAGCTGAAAGAAATTAATATTTTCAAAAACCTTCTATATATATAAAAGGCTAATATGCAAAGTGTCCCCTCAGGAGTTTGACCAGGAGACCGGGAGTTCGATCGCTTGCTATGATGTGCACTGACCAGTGGGGTGGCGTGGAACGAAGGAAGGCCCCGGCCAGCAGCTGGAAGGCCCCGATCCATCCTGATCGCCAGCCAGGCCTAGGGACCCTACCCATGCACGAATTTCGTGTACCGGGCCTCTAGTAGAGATTACGGCTTATGACTGAAATTTTGATTAGATTATCACTTTCTCAGAGTTGTAAAATTCCTACATAGTTCAGATTCACAAGTGAAATGGGTTAGTGACCACATATTTATCTGACTTGTAAGATTTATCAGGTAAAGATTTTTCTCAGGAAATATGTTTAACTTTGTCACACAATTCAAGCCCACTACAAAAAGCACTTTAATTTTAAGAACTTTATTCTTTTTCTCTTAATTTTGTATTTTCATTTTTCTCATTGACACTTTATATGTGTACATTTGTCCTTTCCCCCAAAATAATTTTTCCCCTGAAAATAATTTGTTCATTTTTTTTTCATGTGCTTATGGATTACCCAAGAACAATATGCTGTTCTGGTTGGGGAAAGCCAAGTCCACTCTGGTTTCATTAACCACATCAGAACACACATTAGATAATAAGTTTACTGTATTTTTACTGTGTTATTAAATATCTGTGAAACATTTTAAATAGTCACTTTATTTTTAATATATATTTTAAAATCTTTATTGTTGCAAGTATTACAAATGTCCCCCCCATTGTCCCTCCTCCACCCAGTTCCCGCCCCACCCCAGGCCACCCTATTGGCTGTGTCCGTAGGTAATACATATATGTTCTTTGGTTAATCTCTTCCTGCTTTTCCCTCTGAGTTTCTTCAGTCTGTTCCATGTTTCCATGCCTCTGATTCTATTTTATTTATCAGTTTATTTTCATCATTAGATTCCTTGTTCCTTTATTTTTATTTTTTAGATTGAATTGTTGATAGATATGTATTTATTGCCACTTTATTTTTTCATATTTTTTATCTCTTTTTTCTTCTTCCTCTTGTTCCTCTTAAAAAATACCCTTCAACATTTCATATAATACAGATTTGGTGGTGATGAACCCCTTTAGCTTTTTCTTGTCTGTGAAGCTCTTTATCTGACCTTCAATTCTGAATGATAGCTTTGCTGGATAAAGTAATCTTGGTTGTAGGTCCTTGCTATTCATCACTTTGAATATTTCTTGCCACTCACTCTGGCCTGCAAAGTTTCCGTTGAGAAATCAGCTGACAGTCGTATAGGAACTCCCTTGTAGGTAACTTCTTTTCTCTTGCTGCTTTAAGATTCTCTCTTTGTCTTTAACCCTTGGCATTTTAATTATGCTATGTCTTGGCATGGGCATTTTTAGGTTCCTCTTGTTTGGGAGATGCTGCACTTCCTGGACTTGTAAGTTCTGTCTTTCACCAGGTAGGGGAAGTTTTCTGTATTAATTTCTTCAAATAGGTTTTCAATCACTTGCTCTCTCTCTTCTCCTTCTTGTACACTACCCCTTCTTTATTGTTGTTAATCCTCACCCAAGGATATTTTTTCCATTAATATTTAGAGAGTGGGAAGGAGGGAGGGAGGAGAGAGGAGAGAGAAAGCAAGTGGAAAGAGAAGAGAGAGTGTGAAAGAGAAAGAGAGAGGGAAGAGAGAAAGAGAAACATTGATGTGAGAGAAACACATCTAGTAGTTGCCTCCTGCATGCACCCTGACCTGGACCAGGGATCGAACTTGCAATTCAGTTACATGCCCTTGACTATAACCCTTTGGTGTGGGCCAGTGCTCTAACCACTGAGAACATGGCCATATCTTTGTGCCCCTTTGATGCAAGTGTTAGCAAGCTTGATAGTGTCTCAGAGGTCCCTTGGAATTGCCCTCATATTTTAAATTGTTTTTTCTTTTGCTCTTCCAATCGGGTGTTTTCTGCTACCTTGTCTTCCAGTTCACTGATTCAGTCCTCTGTTTCATCTAATCTACTGTTGATTCCCTCTAACGCAGTGGTTCTCAACCTTCTGGTCCTTTAAATACAGTTCCTCATGTTGTGACCCAACCATAAAATTATTTTCATTGCTACTTCATAACTGTAATGTTGCTACTGTTATGAATCATAATGTAAATATCTGATATGCAGGGTGGTCTTAGGCGACCCCTGTGAAAGGGTCGTTTGACCACCAAAGGGGTCATGACCCACAGGTTGAGAACTGCTGCTCTAACGTATTCTTTATTTCACTCATTGTATTCTTTAATTCTGACTGGTTCTGATTTGTTTTCTATATCTATTTTATGTTTCTTATCTCTTTGTTGAAGTTCTCACTGAGAACATCTTTTCACCAGTGTTTTAAACTCTGTATCTGTTTGATGGCTTGTCTTCATTTTGTTCTTTTTCTAGAGTTTTGTCCTATTTCTTCATTTGGTACATGTTTCTGTCTTTTCATTTTTAGCTTGCTTCCTGTGTTTGTTTCTATCTATTAGGTAGATCTGCTATGTCTCCCAGTCTTGGCAGGGTAGTTTTATATAGTAGGTGTCCCATGTGGCCCAGTGGCATAGTCCCCCTGGTCATCTGAGCTGGATGCTCCAGGGGTGTCTTCTTTGTGGGTTGTGTGTGCCCTCCTGAAGTATTTGAGTCTTGATTGTGGTTGGCACATCAATGGACCCTTATGTGGACTGGTTGAGGACTGCCCGTGACTGGCCATGACTTAGTAAATGAGCTGTTGTGCTTGGGTTGACCCCCATGTAGCAGGATTTGCTTTAGTAGGGTTGTGATGCATACCAAGTCTGCCCTTTGTGTTTGTTGTTTGTGGAGCTGGTTCAGTGGTGCTCTGAAGCCAGTTACTGGGTGTGTTGGTTCTGAGTTTTCATGGGAGGGGCTCTGATGCAAGCCAAGGTCAGACACTGACCTATGCCTGACCCCGGGGCCACTTGTTAGCAGCTACAACTTGATATGCAGTTGATTGCCACTTCTGTTGGGCTTGGAGGCTCCTGGGAGAGGTTATGCCATGAACGAGGCTGTCTGCCACTAGTGCTGGGCTTGGGGTCACTTAGGTGGAGGTACAGGGCCTGCCAAGGCCAGCTGCTACTTGTTTGGAGTTGGTGGACCTCTGAGAGGTTTCAGGAAAGTCCAGTGTGAAGTGAGGCAAGCCACTGGTGTGGAAAAGCTGCCGAAAGTGTTTTGGACCAGGCCTGGGAGTAGGGTGGGAATTCGGGATCACCGGGGAGGGGCGAAGGCTGTTAGCCCGGTTAGTGCAGAGCTTGGATTTGGTGTCTGCTGGCTGAGTGGAGGGAAGACTCAACAAAGAAACAGTAATGTCTACCAACACTTATGTCCTTGGAAAGAGCTGCCCTCACCTGTGCCTGTAGCCCTGGCCCTGAAGCCAATCATTTAGTTCCTCCCTGTATGCCCCTAATGATGTGTGAGCTGCTCCCCCTGTGCTGGAGCTCAGAGCAAGTGAGTTTCAAAGGGAGTCTGGCCTGGACCCTTTAAGACCTGAAGCTCCTAGGTCTCAAGCAACCCGTTGTCTTTCTCAGACACAGTTCCCTCTGGTTTTCACAGCCAGATGTCATGGGGACTTTTCTTCCCAGCACTGGTGTCCTGGGCTTGGGAACCCGGTGCAAGGCTGGGACTTCTCGCTCCTTGGTTCAGACTTCTGCAGCTGAGATATGCCTCCTGATTCTGAATTGCCACCCTGTGGGTTTGGGACCTGTCTATTTCATAATCTCTGCCCCTCCTACTAGTCTTGCCATGGTTTCTTTATATCCTTAGTTATAGGAATTCTGTTCAGCTACTCTTTGGGTGGTTCTTAGTAATGGTTATTCTATAATTTTGATGTGGTCATGGGAGGAGGTGAGCAGTAAGTTTACCTATCCTGCCATCTTGACCACCTCTATTACTTTACGCTTTATCTATATATGTAAAAACCTAATATGCAAATAGTCCCTGCGGGAGTTCAACCGGGAGACCGATCGCTTGCTATGAAATGTGCTGGCCATCAGAGGGCGGTGCAGAATGAAGGAAGGTCCCAGCCGGTAGCTGGCAGCCAGGGAAGGGAGGCCATGGCCAGCAGCCGGAAGGGAGGCCCTGGCCGGCAGCCAGAAGGCCCCGATCGGCCCTGATTGCCAGCCAGGCCTAGGCACCCTACTCATGCACGAATTTTGGGCACTGGGCCTCTAGTATGAAATAAAAAAAAATAAACAACTACTGAATATTTACTATTATTCATTTTAATCTGAATGGTTATAGTACTTTCATATAAACTGTCCAAACTGTCCTATAACTTTTTTATACTTAACGGTATATCTCAGGTACTTTTCATGTTACTGTATCATCATTTAGCAGACACTCTGTATGATTGCTATAATACATTTAAGCCATCTCCTAATAATGGACATATCAGTTGTTTATAGTTTATTGTTATTTTCAACAATGTTCTAGTGAACAATTAAAGGTCTGATAGGAGATATTTTATATTTTATGGGACAAAAATCCTATTTCTTCATCCTATGTGTCCATGAAACTACCAACTTTGAGAACACTCCTAGTGCAGAAGGCATCCATTGGCAATTATTAATTTATAGGTCTCCAAATTTTGATATAGTAGCTAAAAAGCTTTTATGTTTTTAATCAAAAGCCTGGACCAAGGTGTTATATTGAATAGCCTGGGTTAATAATTTTTTAAAACCTCCTCTCATTTATGAAGAGGATGACAGAGTAAGGAAAAGATGAAATAGGATATGTGGAAATAAGGAAAGCTTAATTTAAGACACTTAATCATTTTCTTTTAAAAGAACTTGGATGTATTCACGGATCAGTTTAATGAAATGTAAGACAATATAAATCTATAAAATTATTTTTGTCTCTGTTCTTTTCTCAGATAAACTTCTCAAAATTAAGTAAATTAATAATCTGGATGCAATTTGGCAGAGATTTAAATGCCTTGAGTGATTCATTTAAGACGTGAAATTAAAAAAAGCAGTAACATTTTTGCAAATATTTTTGGAGTTTATCAGACATACTGAGCATGTTTGGTAGTTTAAGAAGTAATCCTTTTTATTTTTATTCTTAAATGTTTAGTTAATTCCATGTACCATGAAACTTCCAGAAAGACAGCCTGAGTTTTTCTTTTACTATTCTTTACTGGGAAATGATGTTACAAATGAACCCTTCAATGATTTGATCAACCCAAACTTTGAGCCAGAGAGAGCGTCCGTTCGAATACGAAGCAGTGTAGAAATTCTTCGTGTTTACTTGGCTTTTCAATCTAAACTACAGGTACGTACTGCAGAAAATTGTTTTTTTATTAGAGATGAGTTTTTTAAGCACTAGAGAGGTACTTCAACCATATTGTTTCAGTGGTGAAGGTCATTTTTGTGCTACATCTTTAAACTTTTTAGTAATTATCCTGACTTGTAAAGTCATACATAGCATAGCATAGTAGTTACTTTAGAATTTTAAGAGATATGCCTCTTTCCTAGTTATTGTGAAAAGAATTGTGTCAATTATCAGTCCTTTATAATAAAAAATTATACCTGGAGCCTAAAGCTGTGAGCACAGTGAAGGTTTTGTTACTGTTGATGGAGATAGTAGCCATAGGCACACAGATCCCACTTTAGAGTTCAGAATTTATATTCCTATTGCTATTAAAAGCAAAGAGATAACAATTTTTAAAAATCTGCCCCTGAATTGAGTATTATGTTTTAAACGAATTTCAAAGTAGACTCTAAAAGTGAACCTTACTTAGTGAAAACTACTGTTTTATTTTTATTACAATTGCTTTAAATCAGACTGACATGGGGTGGCCATCTATAGGGCTAGATAGTCATTTGTTTATAGTGAAGTGATCAGATGTGTGTTTTGGGTGGGAGGTGAAAAGAGACATTAAGGAATTTTAGAACTAAATTTTAGAGGTTGTTCTGCTAAATTCAAGATATTTAGAAAGCTGAAGGCTTTATGAAATGATAAAATGCAGGAAAAAGCACATATAATTTTATTCTGTATCTAACATATCAATCCTTATCTAAAGTACTGACTTGTTAGTTTGATTCTCATGGACATTGAAGTCATAAAAATTCATTCTTTTCAGCTCATTAAAATCATCACACCTAGCAACATTAAGACTAAGTTACAGGTAATTTCTGATATTAGAACTAAAAATATTTTCATGTTGTGATTGCTTATTGTTCAATATGAATGGTAAGCTTGCCAAGGCTTTGATATAGTAAGGGAAAAGAATATAGTTATGTAACATTTACCTGAAATTGCCTTTTTGCTGTTGCAAAAGGTGGTAATGTTGAAGTTTTGATTAGCTATTAGTGGTTATTAGTGATTAACAGTACATTTCATCCAGGGGTATTCTCTTTTACCTTTTACTGTTAAGCACTTGCTTTATAAATAAAGTCTGAAGAGCAAGAAAAGAGAGAAAAAAACATTCCATGTATTTTATGGGTGAATGAAACAAAATTATTTGAGGTTCTTTAATTTTCAAATGTGGCTGGATCTACTAACTTATTTTTTAGAGCTGTGTTTAAATTAATGTTGAAATAGAAATAGAAAAAAATGTTGAGGTATTTGTTTTTTATTTAAATTCATGTACACATGATACAATTTGCATATGTAAAATAGCATAGTAAAATATTAAAGTTACCATAACTCACGAAAGAGACAGAAAAAAAGAAAAGGTTGTATCAGATGTGTACAGTACTGAAAGAAAAAAAAATGAAAAGGAAGTAATAGTTTTATTATTGAGTTCTTGGTAAACTGTGTGCCTGATCAGTAGTTTTAACAATCTCATGGGAATCTATTTCTTAGTTGCTGCAGGTTAGTATAACCTGCATTATACTTGCCTTATATGGAAGGTAAGTTTTTGTTAAGTTTTATAACTTTTTAAGTTTGTATTTTAGGAGAAAGAAGAAAACGTAAAACCCTGTGTTGATTTTCCCTTTCATATTAGATCCATCTCTGCTGTGGAGACCAGTCACTTGGAAGTACAGAAATACCTTTAGCAGGATTACTGAAAAGGGGTAGTACAGAAATCAACCAGCGCCCAGTTACAGTTGAGGGTGCTTTTACCCTTGACCCTCCAAACCGAGCCAAACAAAAGCTTGCACCTATTCCTGTGGAGCTGGCCCCAACTGTGGGAGTGTCTGTGGCTCTGCAGAGAGAAGGCGTAGACGCACAGGCAAGTAGTGACCCTCCTTCCCCTACGGCAGCTTCTCCGGTTTCACTCATGATTCTTCACACAAGTCGAACTTCAGAAGAGTTTCCCAGCATTAAGAAAGTGTTTACTACTCTTAATTGGTAGCCTACATTTTCTGATAGGTCCTCTCGGAAAAGACATTTCTGAAAAGCACTGTTGCTTCCACTGCTGTAGTATAGCGACTGTATCCAGAGCCTTTGGGTATAGTCTTCTCATGGAGTGGAAACCATTCTCCTGCCCCCAACTCATAGTCAATGACTATGGCAGCTCCAGTAAAAGGAGCTCCAGTAAAAGAGAACGTTTTCTGGAAATTTGCATTAATGGTATTTATTTGGGTTAATTCACCTGAGCTAACATAATGTTCTTGATGAATTGGGGTTTATAGTTCCTATACTCTTCTTTAGGCAACAGAGATGGGCATTTATTTGAACATATATGGTTTTTTATTGTATACATCCCCCAACCAAGTTTAGAATCCTGTTCTTTTAAAGAACTGATCTTTATACAGTTTATGAATTAAAGATTGAAAAACTAAAGTGAGAGCCTAATATATATATATATATTTTAGAGGATAGTAGACCAAAGGAGAGGAAGAAAATCCTAGTAGACATTTGTGTGTTTTTTAAAGGACTTTAGGCCTTAGTAGAAATAACCATTCCCAGGGACACCTATGTCTGACTTCTTTTATCCGGTATTCCTCTTACCCATTAGGATACATTTTGGTTCTTAGCTCTGGATATATTTCCTTCCTGTTCATCTTCCTTTTTCTGGTCCTAGATGCTATAAGGATATTTGCAAATTATGAAGAAAAATAGACTAGGAATATCCAGACTGGGAAAGGAAGCTTATATTTTTAAAAAACAACATCATTTTTTTGCTTAATTATGAAGGAAAGTTCTTTGCAAATTATACTTTATTTAAAAATTGTTTTTAGTCTTTAATTGAATTAAAGACCCAGAATGAACATGAGTCACAGCATTCAAAGAAGAGAGTTTTAACTCCCATAAAGGAGAAACTTACTGAGCCAAAGTCACCAAGTGTGTCCCCTGTTATGCCTCACAACCAGTCACCTCCAACAAAAGATGATGCAACAGAAAGTGAAGTGGAAAGCTTACAGTATGATAAGGACACAAAACCAAACCCAAAGGGTAAGATTCTTTTTTACAGACCTTTTAAATATAGATTTTGTAGCCATCTAATAAATGACTTTGAGACTTTCCATGGGATCTACGTAAAAATTTAGTTTTTTAAAGAACCAATAATGTGTGGCAATGTAAAAAAAAATCAATTTAAAGTAATTGCAATTTATTTAACTTCACTATATAACTTGCAAAAAGGTAAGAAAAATTTTTCTTTTACTTTTGCACTAGAAATAGTAGCCTGTTCAAAAGAAATTAAAGAATATAGTTCTTTCAGATAGTTTTAACTAGCAAATTCTCAAATATCTTGAATACATTGGAATTTTAGATGAAAGAGTTGCTGTTTCTTAAAGTAACCTTGTAGTAATAATTTTTTATTCTAACAGTTAAGAGAGAGTCTGAGAAAGCACATTTATCTGGCTTTATAAAAATTTTCCACCCATTACATAAAGATCCACAATCATATTTAGTAGCGTAAGTAAGTAACGTAGTGCTGGATTATGAGTTAGAAATTTGGGAGTGAGTTGTAGCTCTGTCACTGAGCAACTACAACTTGGGCCACTCACTAAAACATCTCTGGCCTATAACAGGATTAAACTAGATAGCTCTGTCTTTTCAAGTTTTAGATCTTTGTTAAACTATGTCATATATACCTAAAATAACTAAAACTACTTTAACACATTGTATGCGGGAAACGTATTTATACGTTTTACGTTGACTGGTAGTAGAGCGCAGGACACGTATTAATACGTTTTTTATAGACTACCGGTAGAATGCGGGTAACGTATAAATACGTTTATTTTTATACTTTTTTATTGCTCTAAAGGGATGCTAACATGCAGATATATGAATTCCAAAAGACAAAATTTGGGTCTTTAACACATACAATGGTGAATTATGTATGTACATCCAGGTATAACGGTAGGTAATCTATTCAACTGCAAAAATGGCCCACGCCACCTGTTACCGCGCGATAAAAACTACCCGCAAACAATGTGTTAAAAAGTAGGGATGGGGCCTAAACTGGGAGTCGGACATCCCTCTCCCAATCTAGGACTGCTGGCTCTTAACCGCTCACCTGTCTGTCTGCCTGCCTGATTGCTCCCTAACTGGTCCCCTGTCGGCCTGGCCATCCCTAACTGCCCCGCCTGCTGGCTTGGCTGCCCTCTAACTTCTGCCCTGCTGGCCTGCCTGATCGCCCCTAACTGCCTCTGCTTGCCAGCCTGATCGCCCCTTAATTGGTCCCCTGCTGGCCTGGTTGTCCCCTAACTGCTCCCCTGCTGGCCTGGTTGCCCATTAACTGCCCCCCTGCCAGGCTGGCCGCCTTCTAACTGCTCCCCTGCTAGCCTGCCTGATTGCCCCTAACCACTCTACCTGCCTGCCTGATAACCCCCAACTGCCTCTGCTTGCAGGCCTGATTGCCCCCTAACTGGTCCCCTGCCAGCCTGGTTGCCCCCTAACTACACCCCTGCTGGCCTGGTTGTCCCCTAACTGCCCCCCGGTAGGCCTGATCACCCCAACCACTCTACCTGTCTGCCTGGTCACCCCCTAACTGCCCCCTGCCAGCCTGATTGCCCCCTAACTTTCTGGAAGGAAGTTGGACGTCTGGAAAATGTCCAGTCGACCTGGTCTAATTAGCATATTACCCTTTTATTAGTATAGATTAGGGGTCCTCAAACTACGGCCCGCGGGCCACATGCGGCCCACCGAAAACATTTATCCGGCCCACCGGGTGTTTTTGCCGCCGCTGTGTGCATAGGAATTTGTTCATAGTTTTTTTTTAAACTATAGTCCGGCCCTCCAACAGTCTGAGGGACAGTGAACTGGCCCCCTGTTTAAAAAGTTTGAGGACCCCTGGTATAGATGCACATAAAGAGGACATTTTTTTCCTATACAGTTCTACAATGGGAATTAAAGCTTGCATAATTTGGGACAAGTCACTTTAAGATATTTATGCCTCAATTCCTACGTTTATAAAACCAGATAGTCAAGTTCCTTGCTTGAAGGTCGAGATATCTTTAAATTATTTAGATAACTTAAGAGAAAGTGTTAGCAAATTGAATTTAAAACCAAACCAAACCAAACATTTTTACCTTTATTTTAGCCATCAGTTCTTCTGTACCTGCTTTGCCGGCCCAGCCGGTGACAGCATCCAGTGCTCCGGAAACAGCTTCAGGACAGAAGATTGCTGTTCCAGCCACATCACACCATTTTTGCTTTTCGATAGACCTACGGAGTATCCATGACTTGGAAGTTGGTTTTCCAATCAACTGTATTTTAAGGTATGATTTGGTTTGGTTTCAAAGTATTTTCCAAGGAGAAATGCCTTTTCTCTATTGGGGAAGTTGCAGAGAAAGAAATGCCACCAGAGAAGTTATAACATTTGTTGAATCAGAGTATTAGAAGGGGGTAAGGCTGTGTCCCAGTGACCTCAGAGTTAAACCAGGCTGGTATTGGTGGTGTGAGAGGTAACAGTCTTCACTATGCTAGTGTAATAATTGAAAGAACTTATAGTAATTTATTAATGGTTCTATTAAAATACGGTGACTCTTGAACTTAAAGTGTGTTGTTCCTGGAAATAGTGCCACAAGTCAAAATAATGGAAGGCATCTGATTTTTCTGTAAAAACTTTATCATAATGTGAGGTTATATTCCTCAAAACTACATTTTATAGCTGTGAATCTAAAAAACATACTTTGTGAACTGTAAGTGGAATGTGTCCACACTTTTCAATATAAAAAGTTGAAAATGTACATTTCAGTCAGTATAATGGCTTTATACAGTATTTTGTTTTTAGTAATATTACATTTTCATAGATTCTTGTGGCTAAGATATAAATTAAATATACAATACTGTGTTTTAGTTTGGAGTAATTTCTCCTCATACTTTTTTTTGGAGCAAGCAGTGGCATTTGTAATAAAGGTGTTGGTCTTTATGTGATTAAAGTGAGGAAGTCTTTCTGTCCCCTGGATTGCCATTCCCAGGAAGTCAGCAAATGCATATTGCTTCCTGCCGCGATTTGGAGCAGACCTGCTTTTCAGATGCATAAATCAACTCATACTTGCATGTAATTTTTCAACTCTTTGACTTCTCATGAAGTTGTTTCCAAAATCCTCTGAGCTTTGGTGTGAATAATGGACAGAATTAAAGGGACCCAGCGTGTAGTGTGATGGTGAATTCATAGAATGGAAATCTTTCATCGCAGCTTAAGTTGTGCATTTTACCATGTTGGAGGCTGAGAGTCATTGCTAAAGTGTTGTTTTTATTTGAAAATTGAAGGCAAGAAAAAGGTTTTCTCTCACGGCCATAGCTTTTTTCAGAGTTTGTATAACATCTCTTAAAATTATTTTTAGAAATAGAATTATTACTTATTTTTTACCTCTGTTTTTTGTCTTTACTCCTTTAACTGAGATCTCTCTGCTGCCGCTAGAGGGAATCTGATCTCAGAATACCTACAGAGGACTGTGGCAGGAGAAGAGAAACAGGGACCATCTAAAATGGGAACCCAGTCTTTGTTTAATGGAGTCTTATTTGGAGTGCTTCAAAATGACTCTCTTTCTTATTTTTGTCATTGCCTTCAAAATACCAGAATTCTCTTTCTCCTCCAGAGCCTCATTAAGAAATGATCTGTAAAGCAACTTGGGAAATAGTTCTATGCTATTAATGCATTTGCTCTATAATTTCTATAATTTTCATATCCACACTGAAAACATTTGTATAATTTTTGTTGGTGACAAGAACAAAATCATAATGTGTTTGTATCATTTATCTATTTAAAAATTCTGTTTGCCCATAATATTCATAGTAACATTCATTTTAACATACTATAAGTTTTATCTGTAGTTTTATCTAAGATTTTGTTTTTCTGAAATTCTAGGTACTCATATCCATTCTTTGGAAGTGCAGCTCCTATTATGACTAATCCTCCTGTTGAAGTTCGGAAAAACATGGAAGTTTTTCTTCCCCAATCTTACTGTGCATTTGATTTCGCAACTATGCCTCATCAGCTGCAAGATACCTTCTTAAGGTAATATATGCACTACACTATGTGTATGATATTATCTTCTCAAGTCAGCTCTTAAAATTTTCTATCTTATAAACAAGAGGAATTTCTATAGGTTTAAATCCATAGCAGTTTATGCATTTGAGAATCTAGAAACAAATATACTAACAAAGTCTGTGACATTTGTGCTTCCGCCACAAAGTTTTATCTTAACTTAGTTATTAGAACGTTGTTAAAACAATGTAAGTAATGAAGGAACTTTGAAAAGTAGTTTGTCCTACGAGTTTTTATTGCTGATTCACTGAATGACTGTATATATTATTTTATTTCTATTTTTTTATTTATATGAAGTGGAGGTGTTAGCTCAGCTATCTGAAATAGACTTGTGAAGGAAGGTGAGATCTGTGAAGTGTCACTTTACGTGCTCAGAGTATCAAAATTCAAGATGTATATTTTAAAAGGAAGAATGAAGGAAAATTAAAATTTATTTGTGGGAATAATAGGTTTTAAAGCAGCAGTTCTCAACCTGTGGGTCGCGACCCCTTTGGGGGTCGAATGACCCTTTCACAGAGGTCGCCTAAGACCATCGGAAAACACATATATAATTACATACTGTTTTTGTGATTAATCACTATGCTTTAATTATGTTCAATTTGTAACAATGAAATTGGGGACCACCACAACATGAGGAACTGTATTAAAGGGTTGCGGCACTAGGAAGGTTGAGAACCACTGGTTTAAAGAGTTTCTTTATTGCATAGAAAGAGGTGTAGAAGATGTAATTGAATTTTCTGATTGTTATGTATGGAACTGAGCATTTACATTCCAGTAACAAACACTGTAATCTTTGACTACATTAAGGAAATTCAAAGATTTTAGTCCAAAAAAGACTTTGTTCTGAGTTGATAGGTATGAATATATGTGTCTCTCTTCCTCAGGATTCCATTGCTGATTGAATTATGGCACAAGGATAAAATGAGTAAAGATTTACTTCTGGGAATCGCTAGAATCCAGCTTTCAAACATCTTATCTTCAGAAAAAACTCGCTTTTTAGGTTCTAATGGTGAACAGTGTTGGCGTCAAACTTACAGTGAAAGTGTGCCTTTTATAGCAGCACAAGGGTAATGCATTTTGCAAAATTGATCTTAGCTTTGCTTTTTATTCTCATTAGTTATAACCTTATCTTTTCATATCATTTTTTCTCTGATCTTTCATGACCTGTGGGAACTGTATCCTAGTTTGCTCTTTAGCTTTCTGATACCCATTATACCCTCACAAAGTTAAGAATCTGTGCTGCTATAGTACTGCAATATTTACTCAGACTGGTGAATATTTCCCTCTCCTCTGTTTAGCCTGACAATTTTAAATTTTTTTCAACTTTATTGTTGAAAGTATTTCATGTGCCCTCTTTTTTACCCCATTGGCTCCTAACCTGCCTCACCCTCCACCACCCTGTTATCTGTGTCCATGGGTTATGCATAAATGCAAACAAGTGGGTTATCTCTTCCTACCCACCCACCCTTGCCTTTCCTAATTTAATCTCAAAATTAGAATGTATTTATACATTATGTTGCATTGGGAATGACTATTTTTCTACTTAAAAAATGTTTTAACTTTTACCTTATTGTTGAAGTCTGAGGATGCTTTGCACTTTCAAAGACAATTGTTTTGTTGTTGTTGTTGTTTTTGTTTTTAAATATATTTTATTTATTTTTTACAGAGAGGAAAGGAGAGGGATAGAGAGCTAGAAACATCGATGAGAGAGAAACATCGACCAGCTGCCTCCCGTACACCCCCGACTGGGGATGTGCCTGCAACCAAGGTACATGCCCTTGACCAGAATCGAACCTGGGACCCTTCAGTCCACAGGCCGATGCTCTGTCCACTGAGCCAAACCGGCTAGGGCACAATTGTGTTTTTTTGGTCCTAAAATTCATTGTCACAGTGAAAAGCTGGAGTTCACATATTTCAGACAAATAATATATTTGTTGCATGATTTTTAAAAATTTAACAATAGAAATTTAAATTCAGTTTGATATTTTATACAACATGCCTTTATTTTTAAAGCATAGTAAGAAAGTAGAAGGAAAAAAGGCTCATTAAAAAGCTGAAATCTAAAAGTTGTATTGAAATTTCTTCCCTTACGCTTCCCCATCAATAGCCACTTCCAGAGAATGAAGGTTTATTAAAATTTTTATTTACTTGGAAGATCTGGGAACAGGTGTTTTAGAGAACCAGATATTCCGGGTAAATGAAAATTCTTTGTGTTTCAACTCCTGTTATTGAAAATCTCTTTTAAAAATTAACACTGTCATAAGTAGAATAATATGAAAATAATCAAATTCTTACTATTTGAAGTTATTTTAATTCTTTTTGTTGTGAATGTTAACTTTTATTGCCCTGCTCTGTAGACTGAGAGGTTTAGATTTACCTAAGTGAAAACTTCAGATGTGGCAGTGCTTCATTACACTTTAATTTCTTTTAAAACCTGTGAGATTAGTTGATTACTAAAAGGATCCTACACAATTAGAACTCTTAAAGTTTTGTTTGACCAAGGGTTTATAGAATATATTTGACTTAGACAAAGCCATGGGTTTTTTATTGCCAAGGTTTTATTTTTTTCTAACATTTTGTTTATTTATTTATTTAATTAATACTACAGAGAGGTACTCATATCAATAAAAATATAGTTAACCTACTTATAGAAATTAGCCTGAGGCAATGCTCATATCCAGTAGAAGATTTATGTACAAGTGTGTTCAAAAGTAGAAAAACAACTCACAATAACTTGTATATAGTCAAGAATAGGGGAATTAAGTTTATTTTACTACATAAATTCTTTAGTACATTTTATAGGCATTAAAAGTTATGTTTTTGAATTAATGTTTATGACAGAGAAAATGATTTTGATATAAATAGGAAAAGAGACCCTGGCCGGTTTGGCTCAGTGGATAGAGTGTCAGCCTGCAGACTGAAGGGCCCCAGGTTCGATTCTGGTCGAGGGCATATGCCCAGGTTGTGGGCTCGATCCCCAGTGGGGGATGTGCAGGAGGCGGCCAATCAATGATTCTGTCTCATCATTGATGTTTCTATCTTTCTCCTCCTCTCACTTCCTCTCTGAAATCAATAAAAATATATTTTAAAAAAATAGGAAAAGAGGACAAAACGGTATGGTCTTAATGTGCATGATTACATGTGTATCTACATATACATAAAACAGAGGAAGGGACGTAAGTAAATTTCAGCAGTAATAAGCTATGGGCAGGGAGATTAAAATTCTTTATTTTGTACTTTTCAATTTTTCCAAGTAATCTGTAGGTCCTTTTATAGTAAACAAAGGTATGTATTTAATAGAGTGTTAGTTATCAAATGAAATCATGTATATGGAAGGTCTTGAAGCCCTTAGAAGCTGCTGCAGTTTCAGTAGCAAGTGCCAGATGCAGGAAATGTTGTCTACTCAATGCTATAGTGTTGGAGACTTAAGAGGAAGAATAACATAAAATGTTTCCATGAGTTTCAGTATATTTCTGATTTCATTTGTAGGTCAAATAACAGGATAATAAATCTTTCTTACACCATGACTCTAGAAGATTATGGAATATTAAAAACACGTGAGATTTTTGTCTCTGATTCATCTCAGGTAAGTATCATTGAATGTTATCAAATTACTCTTTAAAAACGGATCTAATGTGTATGTGTGTGAGTGTATTTGTTTCAATATGCTTTTTTCTATTCATATGTTAGGGTTTAACTGCTGTACAACAGAACTCATCTTGTCTTCCTCCCGCACCTTGTCCTTCAGAAGTCCAGACAGAGCCTCGTGAAACCTTAGAATACAAAGCAGCACTTGAGCTAGAAATGTGGAAGGAGAGGCAAGAAGACATTTTTGAAAATCAGGTTACTTTTTAAACATTACTTTAAGCCTCTATTTTTATCTACTTAGTATGTTTTTCCTTCTCCATACTAGGCTTTTACTATGTTCCATGGTCCCCTACTAGTCCCTTTGAATATCAAGAATACCTTACTCCTAAAGAAAAATTGAGAATAAAAAAACAAAAAACAGAAGCCACTAAGAAGGATTCCCTCAACTTTGTCTCTGATCTTAAGCAAATTAGAACTGAAGGTTAGAGATCAGAGATTGACTTGAATGTTTCTTTTCATTCCGGTCCTCATTTAGTGTACCCTCCTGGAACATGGAATTATCAGTCTCTGAACAAGAGAGTTAGAAAACACAACTTACCATGTACTCCCCTAAATTATATGGGTACTACTTGCCTCAGGCATCTTTTAAAAAATAAAATAGAACACCTGACATAAACATATCAGTGATCATTTAATTTTTAACTGATGACAACTGATTTGTTTACTTGAAATATTTAGGATTTTTGTCTGACTTTATTTTTCTTCCTTTTGTAGCTAAAGCAGAAAGAACTAGCTCATATGCAAGCTCTTGCAGAGGAATGGAAGAAAAGGGATCGAGAGAGAGAATCACTAGTAAAGAAAAAGGTAGTAACATGTATAGAAATTGAAGGGGAAAGGAATAAAATTATAGTGTCTTGTATATGTATTTTTGAAATTGTGTTTTGAGTTTGGGAAAAAGATAAGGTAGCTTTTATTATTTTAGGTGGCTGAATATACTCTTCTGGAAGGAAAACTTCAAAAAACCCTAATTGATTTAGAGAAGAGAGAGCACCAGCTGGCCATTACAGAATCAGAGGTACTGTATTTGTCAAATACCTTTATTTCACAGAATCCATGTTAGGTTAATACCATTCATTCCTTTTTAAAAAAAATATATTTTTATTGAATTTATTTTAGAGAAGAAGGGAGAGGGAGAGGTAGAAATATCAGTGAGAGAGAACTGTTAATCAGCTCCCTCCTGCATGCCCCCACAACTCAAGCATGTGCACTGACTGGCAATCATTCCAGCTACCTCTTGGTGCATGGGTCAGCCCTCAACCACTGAGCCATGTAGGCGGGGCTTCATTTCTTTTTTCTTTGTACTTATATATAAAATGTATTTCTTAGAAGTTGTCTTCCAGACATTATGGAGAACAACTGGGTAAAGAATGTTTTATGTTTTAGAAGGTGAGGAATAGAAAGTGCTTATTGTTTGAAATGGTTAACTATTATTTACCCAGTTTGGTTAACTCCTACAATAGTGGAGATATTTGGTTAACTTTCCCATTATGTAAACTTTAAATGGATAGTTACCTTACCTAGAGAAGAGAGAAAATGTAGCATAGGTTCAGGGGTCTAGAATCCTGATTTGGTTTTCAGTAAGAAGGAAATATCCCACATTCTTGCCTATTAAAGATTAGATCCAAAAATAAATGAGTACTAGGCTTAGTTAACATTTTTGTTAGGTCCTATTAAATTTTAACCTAAATACTTTTTTAAATTATTGTAAAAGTTGTTTCAAAATAATATTCTTCCACATTCAATTTATATGCTCCTTCCCTACCCAAATTTGTTTCTTAAAGTTTCCTCAGCATATCACCCTAACCTTATCTTTATTCATTTTCTGGGATTTGAGTTAGACGTTTAAACTTGTATATTTGTTCCTAATACTTAGAATCTGTTATCTTCTGTGTGAATGGGTGGAAAATAAAAATAAAACATTTCTAAAAGAAGAAAAGGAACTTTTGCTTATATATTAAAATGGGTTTATTTAAATAGGAATTTTAAGTGATTAGGGCATTTTCAGTTGAATTTATAGAGGTCATATATGGATTTTTGTGTATACTTTGTATAAGAATTAAATGATTGAAAATAATGTAAGTATTCTGAACATTTGACTTTATATATATATGGATAATAGAATATTGAACGGTATAATGTAGCTCATAATAGGCCAACCTCTTAAAGATGCACTTGTTTTAAGCTTCAACGAGAAAGAAGGGAACTGAAATCAGAACGTGAACAGAACCTGCAAGAACTTCAGAACTCTATCCGTAGGGCCAAGGAAGATTGTGTTCACCAAGTAGAACTGGAAAGGTTAAAGATCAAGCAGCTAGAAGAGGACAAACACCGACTTCAGCAGCAGGTTGGATGAAATACCTATCATCTCTTTACACTTAGAGTTTATTTGCATCTAGAAATAATTGGTATAATTCACTAAAAAGTTATAAAAACTCACAGTAATTTGGATGATTAATATTTATTGCAGAGCTTCAAATATACTTTAAGTTGGATCTTCTTTTCCTAAGTCAAAGCTAAGGACCATATTGGAATAATTTTTCTTCCCTTACAATTATTTGCATGAAATTGTACTATATTTCAGATAAATCTCAGCTTAAAATTATTTTCTGATAAATCACCTTTTAGCAAACATGCATAAACTTCATATCACTGGACTGAATTCAGTTAAGAATCAAATTTCATGAGAGAATTGTCTCTGCTCTTCATTTCCTCACCTTATACTCACCTCACAACCCATCCCCATTGCTCCAGCCAGCCAGTTGTCAAAGAAGTCACTACATTCAGTGGGCATGTTTCATTCTTATCTTACTCAGACTTATTGACAACATCAACACTGTTGTCCTTGTTTTTGTATATTCTCTTCTCTCGACTTCTCTAACACCACTCTCCTTGCTTTCCTCTACTTTTCTGGCCACCCCTCAGGCTCCTTTGCAGGTTTATTTTCCTTTAGTAAATGTTAGACCTCCTTTAAGTTCAAAACTTACTTTGTACTAAACAATCTTATTAATGTCCATGGGAACGGAGACAGTCTGTACCTCTTGGACTTTCAGATGTATGTCCCAGACCTTTCCTTTGCACTGTAGACCAATAAATCTGCTTTTTTGATATCTCTAATTGGATGTCTAAAGTCATTTAAAACCCAACATGATCCTCCCATCCATGTCTGAGCTTTCTGTAAGTCAAGCATGTCAGACTCACGGGCCGCATGCCTTGTTTATTTGGCCCGTGTTAGACTTTGAGTTTGACATGCTTGCTGTAAGTGTTCTTTATTTCTGTTCTTCCTATTGCAACCAGAGTGATATTTTTAAAATTTGGGAATCATGACACCCTCCTGTAAAACCTTTCAATGTCATCTCACTGCTCAGAATAATTACCTTGCCCTACAAGCCTCTGCAGAGCTTGGAACCAGCCTATCTCTCTCACCTTTGTCCTGTGCTCTCCAGCCACACTGGTTTCCCTTCAGGTTCTCAAGCATGCTGAGCTTCACCATAGGATCTTTGTGTGTGCTACACTCATCCTTCAGTTTTCAGCTGAAGCACCAATTACTCGGGGAGCAGGGATCAGGGACAATTTCCCTAAGTTTTTGTTATATATTTTCATAGGATATTATTCTCTCATTCTTTTTCTCTATGACATGTTAGAGCAGTTTTATTATTTTCATTGGTGTGATAATTCAATCAGTGTCAATTATAAATCAAAACAGTTTTATGGAGTTAACAATCTGTATACCTAGAGCCCAGCTAGTCTTGATCGAATAATTGGGGCTTAATAAATATTTGCTAAAAAAAAAAAAAAAAAAAGAATCAAGCTGTTAAATGTTAAATATTAAGCTTATCTTTCTTGAAAAATTTCATTGTAGATTAGATATGTATGATGAATGCCTCCAAAGTCTTCAGTAAATTCTGACATGAAGAATAGCTTCCATAGCAGTTCAGGTCAATTATTTAGTGGTTGTAAATATGAATTTGATTGTTATTATGGAGATCTCATTTAAGATAAAGTTGCAAAAGTAGGCAATCATGATGGGATTTACCAAATGCTTTTCCCACTTGTCAGGAAGATTCAGCCATCTAGAACCATCGCTCCTAACGTGTTAATCACCAGCGGAGTTCTTGAAAAAAACCTCGGTCTCTACCTTGTCCCAGACTGCTATAATGAGCTTAAGGGAAGAACTGGTATTTTAGAAGAATTACCCAGGGAACTCTTAAAACATAATCTAAAGACCTGGGGAAAAACTGTGGGGACTGCAGAAATTTCTGAGATGCCCATGTTGCTAAGCTCATGACTATAACACATATTATATTTTCTTCGTATGAAAACAAAATTTTTAGGCCCTTACTCTGAACCAGCTTTCATGTATTATATGTATAATTCTAACTAGACAGGTAGAAGGACTGATAGTATTTACCAGGACTCAAAAAATCAATGTAGTTTATGGACCACTTAGCAAAGGAAAAAAAGCCCACTATGCCTAATAGCTTATTGCTTTACAACCTGATTGTAACCACAGTAATGGTGTATAATAATGTCCCTGAATGGTAGGAAAAAATATTTGACCCAACCCCTTCATAGTTATAATCTTTAAATTACCTTAAGTTGTAAGAGTGTTTGAATTATGAAATTCATATAGTATCTAATTTTAAGAATAAATACTGTATTAAAATTAAACTTTTCATTGATAATAATCTGCTATATCTGTCATCATTTCTTACATGTAACATCTTAAGTATCAGTATTTTTATAAGGTAACTTAACAAAAATGGTCTCATGATACTGGTTTTATAAGAAATTCCATACTCTTAAAAAGTTTTGTATATTGTCAGTTGATTTATTAAATTTTTAGGATTACTAGAGATCTTTGTACTGTAAACATGTTTAGAATAAGAAAAAATGAGATTGTTGAATTAAATTCTGTAATATTAAACTTTACATCTTTTTTTAATGGCTGTAATACTTTTTTTTTTTTTTTAAATACAGCTTAATGATGCTGAAAATAAGTATAAGATTTTGGAAAAAGAGTTCCAGCAGTTCAAGGATCAGCAAAGCAACAAACCAGAAATCCGCCTACAATCTGAAATAAACCTTCTCACCTTGGAAAAGGTACCCATGTCAATTTATACCCACTTAACTAGTCCTAACAATCAACTTACGAAGTCAGTAGTGACACTTACATATACACTGTAACATTTCACTGAAGTATTCTGACACCAGATAACACATCAGAGAATTCAAGGCTGAAGAAGCAGTTTCAAAATATGGGCAGGAACCAGGGTGAGCAAGGCAAGGCCTGCTCTATCACAAAAGTCTACTGAAGGTGCTAGATTCTATTTCCCTGGTTCTAGTGTCTTTCATTAAAAGTATAACCAGATGCCTATATTAAATGGCCTAAAGCAGGGGTTCTCAAACTACGGCCCGCGGGCCACATGCAAATACAAATATTGTATTTGTTCCCGTTTTGTTTTTTTACTTCAAAATAAGATATGTGCAGTGTGCATAGGAATTTGTTCATAGTTTTTTTTTAAACTATAGTCCGGCCCTCCAATGGTCTGAGGGACAGTGAACTGGCCCTCTGTTTAAAAATTTTGAGGACTCCTGGCCTAAAGTGATTTCTGGTTTCTTGGCAGGATACTGATTGATATAATTGATTTTTCATTTACCAGCAAAGACGTGAACTCTTTATGACACCATGCTAAATGCTATTATGAATGATTCAGAAATGTTCAGAATAGAGTCAAGGAGGTTACAAAAGGAAACAAGGAACTTACCCAAATAATTATAGTGAAAGGCAAATGGTAGCAAGTATCATCTAACTTTCTCTTAATAAATGTTATGAATGCAAAAGGAAAACAAAGTCAACTCTGCAATTTAAGTATAACAAAGAAATGAAAAGGAACCCAAAGGATAGGTGAAATTTTAAATAGGTAAATATGTGGGTAAGGGTATCCCAAGGAGAGGTATTGTACTTAGGTTAAAAAGTCTTTTGCATACTTGTAAAATAGCTTGACTAGAACCTAGAGTTTAATCAGTAATCAATATAGTAGTGGTTTCAAAATAAAAACAAGACTGATAAGAAAATGCGGGAAGACCTTAGATGCTAAGTTAAAGAATTTGTATTTTATCTGTAAATAGAAGTCAGAGATTATGCTCACATTTGTAAGATTGGCTTAATAAATATTAATAGAAATGAATTTTAATGAACTTTTGGTGGAAGTTATAGAGAATTCTGATTTTAGACATATTACATTTGAGATGTTAGCCGATTAAGTGGAGAAGTTCATTAAAAATGAGAAAATATAGTAGGAAGAGAGAAATGGGTTAGACATACAGACTTGGGAGTCATTTGAATAAAGTAACATCCTTAGAATTAGATGAAATTGTTCAAGGAGCGTTTAGTAAGGAAAACTGAACATATAACTTTAAAGGGAAAGTTCAGCTTCCTAGACAAAAAGCAAGTCAGGGAAGATGGCTAAAATGATTTAGAGAAGTAATAAATGTAGTCTAGTGTGGCACCCCCCCCCCCCCCAAAAAAAAAAGAGTTTTAAAAATGAGGAAGTAACAGTAATCTCTTATGAATGGAAGGAAAGTCAGGAATGGCTGAGGAAAGGTCATGGGTTTGACAGTTTAAGTCACTACCTTGTAATAAGCCCAATTACAGAGTGTTAAATGTGGCATTGAAAGAAAATGAGCCCACGGGACTGCCAATGTTGAGAAAAGCTTATGGATAAGGGATTAATAGCAAGGAGAAACTGATGGTTGTTAGTCTTTGAAAAAGAAACACCAAGAGACAAAACGCATGAATGCCTAGAAGATGTGGAGCTAGGAATAAGTGGTAAAATAAATCTTTTGAGTTAAGAAGCCTTGTAACTGGTTTCTTCTAGTGTTTCTGCAGCCTATCAGTTGCCTTGCTCTTCTTGATTGCAAAGTGTTGTTGATTCTGCTTTTTACATAGATAGGCGATTTCTTCATTTTTCCATTTTTGGCCTTCTCATTTCTCTACCAATGAACTTGAATCCAGTTAGCCATTTCCCACCCCTATTATGAAAAAAATAACTATTAAAGTATTTCTGTATTTATAAATATGAATTCTGTGGTACTTACCAGAGATATTTGAAGCACTCAGACAGTATCTCATCAATTCTCTCGAGCTGTTAAGTAGATGTCAAAGAATATTTCCATTTTACTTGGGAAATTCAGAGACCAAATATCTCAAAATTGGAGAAGCATTAACTTTTTTAAAAAAATATATTTTATTGATTTTTTTACAGAGAGGAAGGGAGAGAGATAGAGAGTTAGAAACATCGATGAGAAAGAAACATCGATCAGCTGCCTCCTGCACATCTCCTACTGGGGATGTGCCCGCAACCCAGGTACATGCCCTTGACCGGAATCGAACCTGGGACCTTTCAGTCCGCAGGCTGACGCTCTATCCACTGAGCCAAACTGGTTTCGGCGAGAAGCATTAACTTTTAATCTCTTCTGAATATAGACTAGATAATATAGAAATACATTTTAAGTGATTTTTTAAATTCCTTCTTCCAACTACACTTCTACCAAAAAAGTAAAGGTCACTACACATTAAAAATATAAACAGCACCATAAATTTGAGAGAGAAAAAATGCATAATTTAACTGCCTCTATATCAGACCTAATGATTTCATTCAGCATATTTCATTGCCTAGTAAAACAAGGTTACTTCCCCGCCCTGCCTCCCCGCTGTTCTGAAAGTTCTTTGTAAATTTTATTAGAGCCAGAAGAGGGCAGAATCTTATTTCTTAAGTAGTAACAAAGACATAAAAGTACAAAAAGGAAGACATAGTGAAAAAGTATCTGATTAAGTCTATAATCTTGTGATTACCTGTGCTCTTCAGTATAACACAGATTTTCCCATTTTGACTGAAATGGCCTAAAAAGAAATTAAGGTACATTTAATTCTTGATTCCCTTTATTATATAAGAAATGAATAGTTTGATTTGCTTTTAGCTAGGAAATGTCTTTTAGATTGCTTACAAATAATTGGGACTTTTAAAAATAAAATGTGGAAAGCATTATAATTCAGTAGGAGATACATAAGTAAGACAGAAGCTAAAATTTAAGAGTATTTGATTAGTATCTGCTGTGTATTTACCCCTTAGGACAAAGGGGAAAATGAGGGGAAAAGTTTGTAATATAATTGGAGAAATGGCTCAGAGAGCCTTAAACAAATGTGTATAATAAAACAGCAGGAATGTAATAGAAACACTTTGCAGTTCAGAAAAGAGAAATTATTTGGTGTTCAGAATACAGTAATTTTAAGAAAGCTCTGGGTCAAGGTAGTATTTGAACTGAACCTGAAGTTTAAGTTAGCAGAGAAGAAAAAGAAAGACTTGATAGGCTCAGGAAGTAATTTGGGCAAAGAAAAGGGATGTGTAGGGGACCCCAACCTGGTGGTTGGAATAAAGGGTTTCCTGTGGAATTGGTATTTCCTTGGTATTTCCTTGAGGAATACCAAGAAAGTAGGTTGAGCAAGTAGGATGGAAGTGATATTTTGGAGTGCCTTGAAACCTAGCAGAAGAGTCTAGGCTCAATATTGTGGGCAAGAAGTAGCTATTGTAGATTATTTAGTGGAGAGTGAATTGATCTAATAGTGGTTTGCAAGATTTGTGAGTAGATTTGAGGCCGAGGAGAAAAGAGAAGAGCCTGAGCTAAGGAAATGGCATAAAAAAGGATAAAGCTGGAAATATTTTAAGGGAGAAATATATATGACATATCAGTGCAAATGCTTCCCCAAGCCTCAAATCTACTCACAATAGGGCCCTTAACTAGGTCTTTGATTGTGTGCATTTTTCTGGCACTTGGGTCCATCTATTTAGAATTACAGAAGCATCTGTGTTCGTAAGTTCATAATCATTGATTTGGTAATAGGAATAAATCATAAAAGCGAGGTGTGTGTCTCAGATTTGCTAACTTTAGTCTTTTTATTTGTTAAAAGTAAAGAAATTATATGTATTGACTATACATGTGTTTTAAATTAGTTTGAATAACTACCGGTATGCAAATCTGAATTATTTTGATAATCATGGCAAAGCCAATGTAACCTACCCAGACAGCTTTTTTCTGATGAAGTCAGTCCATTGGGTATAAGTATTCCCTCTAGGTTCATCCCTGTTCTAACCCTCAGCTTTGGGCCCACCTAAGACCTATGGACATAATCACTTTTATTGCTAAAGGCTACTTTTTTACCTCACAGCTATAAAATGATTTTTCCTGTTCCTGACCTATGTCCTATGTCCTTGTTAAATTACCAGCTAATATGTATAAATCTTTAGGTGTAAGTGGAAGAGATCATCTTTGACAATCTTAGCGTATTATTCAATTTAAGAGGCATGAGTCTAGTTGTGAAATGTCAACACATTTAAATCCAAGCACTAGGGATTTGTAAAGCAGTAAAGACCTTGACTCCATTAAGTCGTATATTACTGCAGAGAATGTTCTGGGCTCTTGTGAAGGGAATTTGGCAATCTGTTCTTCCTTTCATTTTATTTTCATGAGTTTTTTGAAGTTTGAATTTTTGGATAGTGTCTTTAGTTTTATTTTTCTGCAAAACATTAGAAATTGTGAGTATGGGAAAAAGTCGACTTCATATAAAAAAATTAGACCAGTTTAGAGTAACAGTATTTTACTCTAATTCAGGCCCATTATTACATTATCGTTTCACTAGTAAAACTGTCTGTTGGCAACATCAATTTGTTTGGTACTTGGGTTGAAACACTGAGAGAGGACATTCCAAAACATAGCCAAGTTGGCTTCAGTTCATGCACAACACACTGCCTGCTGCAAGTATAAATAACCTTATTTTTTTAATTGAATCACTTTCATGTTTTTATTTATATATTTGAGGAAAAATAGAAAATAAATGTTAGGTAAGTGTTACTAGGAGCATTATTTGTCTTTCATTTGGTTTATCATTCTTAAAATATTTTTTTACTTTGTTCTCTTTCTTAGTAAACTGCTTTCTGATTAAACATTTCACTGTTTTCGGCATTCTATGATTTTTGCCAAAATATAGTTATAAAAGAATCTAATAGCTTTCTTTGTTATAAGACAAAATTCCACATAATGAAAGGCCTCCAAAAGGAATAATTTGTTTTCTAAGATTTAGAGTACCAAGTAAATTGGAATGCTAACAGAACTGCTTTTTGTTAAAAAAAAAAAATTTTTTTTCATTCTATCATCTTTATGCAATATACATGTTTTAAATACATTTATAGTAACTGTCTGGAGGTTAAGACTAATTCAGTTCCTTTTAGTATGGGCTGTTAGGCAGTAAAAATACGACTATATTTTAAACAAGAAAATGTTCATGTGCCATAATATTTATAGTAAATTATATAACAGTTTTAGATGATGTCGTATGTTACACTACATAAACTCTTTTCTTAAGCCAGACTCTTTGTATATATTATCTTTCAGTGATTGTACACAGTGGTATAGTGTTTCACTTGATATGATTTTAATCACTGTTAGGTTGAACTTGAAAGAAAGTTGGAATCTGCAACTAAATCTAAACTGCATTACAAGCAGCAATGGGGACGAGCTTTGAAAGAACTTGCCAGACTTAAACAGGTATGTAGTTTATAATTAATGATGGATTATTCTTTTTATGTCTTTTTCCCTTGATTCTTTACAAGTTTGCATATTTGGCAATACCTGTTATGTCAGATAAATGTCTGCATTTGAATCTCCAGTGCTATTTTTGAGATTGGGCTGTGTGTGTGTTATATATATAAGATCCTCCTTTTTTTAATTAAAAATTGAAACTTTTAGGTTATTTTCTTTAATTGCCAACTGTCCTCATTCCTAAAAGAAATTGGATAATTTATTTTACTTATACAACTACCATTCTTTTCTTCAGCATTAATTTCTTTCTATTGTGAGTACGTTTGAGGGGAGAAATTTCAGGATAACTTAAATTTAACATTCTCAAATTTAAGAACATACTTTAAATGTTATTCCTAGGAAGACACAGGTAACTTATTCAATTAAGGAAGGAATCACAGGGAATATTTGCATAATTTTATGAGTTTAAAAGTGATAGTTTTCTGAATTCTTAATTGAATTTTTACCCCTCCTGTTGCTAGATAGCATATGCTATTAGCTTCATGAGAAATATATCTTAATGTTAGGTATAATTTCTTCAAGTGATTAAGACCAAATAAATCATTAGCAAGATTTTTTTAATCTAATCTACTTTGACCTAAAACTCATAAGGATCAATAATGGTTAGCTTTAGCTAAAGAAGGTCTTTTAGATTTATATATCTCCATAAACATCAAATGCTATTAAATATCTTTGTGATATTGTACTAAATGCTTATAACCATCATAAAGGAGTATGTACTAAACTGCATGAGAATAAATAAAGAAAATTATGCTAACATAGCTTGTAGGTAAGTTGCGATTATAAGTATAAAATAATATAGTAGTCCTCCCTTAATCGTGGGGGCTACATTCTAAGACGCCTAGTGGATGCCTGAAGCCACAGATAGTACTGAGCTCTATATACAGGGATGGGCAAAAATAGGTTTATAATTGTTAATATGGAAAATAATACAATAATTAATAATGCAAGAATAAGCTTTGTGTTTTGCATATTCACAACCATAAACCTATTTTTGCCCACTCCTGTATACTATTTTTTCCCCTATACCTACATACCTATAAATTAGGCATAGTAAGAGATTAACAGCAATAACTAATAATAAAATAGAACACTTATAACAATATACTGTAATAAAAGTTATGTGAATGTGGTCTCTCTCAAAATATCTTACTGTATTTTATTCACTTTGTGGTGATGTGAGGAGATACAGTGCTTATGTGATGAGAGGAAGTAAAGTGAATGAGTAGGTACTATGCTATAGTATTAGGATTACTTAAACACAAGACTGCAATACCGTAACTGTTGACCTGATAGCTAAGTGACTAGTGAGTGGGTACTGTATACAGTGTGATATGCTAGACAAAGGGATGATTCACGTTCTGGGTGAGGTAGAGTTAGGACGGATGAGATTTCATCACATTACTCAGAATGGTGGGCAGTTTAAATGTATGAATTGTGGTGTGTGTTTTTTTTCTTCTGGAATTTTCCATTTAATGTTTTTGGACCCTGACCATGAATAACTGAAATCACTGAAAACAAACCACAGAGAAGGGAGGGACTACTCTGTTAACAATAGTAAATTTTTATATGTTCACAAGACTGAGGGTAGATAAGTGAATAATATTTTGTATTGAGAGTCTCCTATATTCAAGGCATTGCCCTAAATTTATAGACATAAATAAAACAAAAGTCTTTCCCTCAGGGAACTTACAATTTAGTAATAGAGAAGAAAAGTATAAATATAACATTTACTGCCTAATATTAGGAGCCCTGAAAAGAGCCATAAGAGTACATCTTTTAATGCAGTGGTTCTCAACCTGTGGGTCGTGACCCCTTTGGGGGTCGAACGACCCTTTCACTGGGGTCGCCTAAGACCATCGGAAAACACATATATAATTACATATTGTTTTTGTGATTAATCACTATGCTTTAATTATGTTCAATTTGTAACAATGAAATTGGGGGTCACCATAACATGAGGAACTGTATTAAAGGGTCGTGGCATTAGGAAGGTTGAGAACCACTGATTTAATGGGACTTAGAAAAGGTGTCATAGGAGAGAAGATATTTGAGATGGCCTCTAGGGAACTGGTTGTGATTTAGGAATGTAGCAGGTTGGAGATGGGGGTGTTATAAATACAATGGCTAGAATGATTTTATAACAGACATGAATTCAGTATGCTAGACTCTACTTGGAGATCAGAGGAGGGCCATTTTAGAGTCATTTCAGGAAGTAAGGACAGGAACTTTTTTATTTTATTTTATTTTTTTTTATTATTAGTTTAGGTATTACAAATGTGTCCTCATCCCCCCCATTAACCCCCCCCTCCCCCCCACACACAAACTCATGCTCCCATCCCCCTGTTGTCCATGTCCATTGGTTTGGCTTATATACATGTATACAAGTCCTTCGGTTGATCTCTTCCCCTTACCCCCGCCCTCCCCTACTTTCCTTCTGGGGATTGATAGCCTGATCGCTGTTTCTCAGTCTTTGGGTCTGTCCCTTTTCATCAGTCTATGTTGTTCTCTATATTCCACAAATGAGTGAGATCATGTGGTATTTATCTTTCTCTGACTGGCTTGTTTCACTTAGCATAATGCTCTCCAGTTCCATCCATGCTGTTGCAAAAGGCAAGAGTTCCTTTTTTTTTTACCACAGCATAGTATTCCATTGTGTATATGTACCACAGTTTTCTAATCCACTCATCTGCTGATGGGCACTTAGGCTGTTTCCAAATCTTAGCTATGGTGAATTGTGCTGCTATGAACATAGGGGTGCATATATCGTAAGGACAGGAACTTCAGTGTTAATGGTGGAAACAGGATAAGAGATTATTTTAAAAGACATGTTTTGGTAGATTTTGTGTAGCACAATATACCTGATTGAGCTGCAGAGTATTACAAATGTGGTTATTAAGACAAAGAATTGGTGGGAAAGGGATAGGACTTGCAAGTCTGGACATTTTAATTTTTACAGAAAAATTCAGCAAACAGAATTGTGAATCTGATGTTGGGAGGGTGATTGGGCTTAAAAACAGATGAAAGAATCCTTTACAGAGGTGATTGCTGTGACTGATGGTATTTAGAATTCTTATGTTTAAGAAAGAGAAAGGGAAACGGGTAAAGGAAATAACAACTAGAGAAAAAGAGGAGGATAATTACAATAATACTGATAGAGCAGTTAGCATTAAATTTAGTCTCACTACATGCCAGGTGTTGTGCTTCATGTCTTTTCATTTCACCGTAACCAAGATCCCTATGTAGTAAGTAATATTATTATTTACACTAGAAGCCCGATGCACGAAGATTAGTGCAAGAATGGGCCTTCCTTCCTCTGGCTGCTGGCACCGCTTTTGCTACGGCCCAGAGCCGCCTTTCCGCCTTCCTACGCTGCCCAGAGGCCCTGAGCAGCTGGGGTGGTGCAGAATGCCTGCATTGTCACCATGGCAACAAGGCAGGTGTTCCACACTACCCCAGCGCTGGGTGCCTGCATATGCAAATTAACCCGCCATCTTTGTTGGGTTAATTTGCATAATCCTGATTGGTGGGTATCACAAAGGTACGGTCAATTTGCATCTTTATCTTTTATTAGTGTAGATGTTATACATGAAAGAAACTGAGACATGGAGAAGTTAGTTGCACACAATCACACAGATACCAAGTGATAGAGCTTAGGATTGGAACCATTTGACCAGAGTCCAGGCTTGAGTTTTTTTCCCCCTTTATAATGTTACAGCTTTATTCCATAGAAGCTAAATAATGAACAAATTTCCCAGAGAAGAAAGTGAGCCATGGAAGACATTAGGGATTGCTGACAGAATATTGACGCAGAAGAGGTCATGCTTTGGCATATCCTAGCCAAACGGTATTGTTGGCTATTAGATAAACTAGTTCTGATAATGAGAAAGTGATTTTGAGAGAGAAGAAGCTAATATAGAGTCATGATGCCAAGATATTTAGGTTATATATTGTATAATAGGGAGAAGTCTGTGGAGTTAGGAACAATGAAATAATGTGATGAGAATAGATGTTAAAAATAACAGAATACACATTCTATCAGAGGAAGCATATATAGTAGTTTAGAATATGAGTCAAGAGAGCTGGGTCTTGGCTTAGCTCTTAACTACTTCTCCAACTTGGGTAATTTAACTTCTCTGATTAGTCTTATTTGTTCAGTGAAATTTTTCCTCACAGGTTGTTCTGAGAATTAAATAAGTGGATTTAAAAGCATTTAATACAATGTTTGGTAAGTAGTACATGCTCAATAAATGATAATTGTTGAAAGAAGATGAGCCATAAAGCTATTGTGTAGTGTTCTTGATTTTAGTTGATGGGCACATAATTTAGATCAGTGATGGCAAACCTATGATACGCATGTCAGGTGACACGCGAACTCATTTTTTTGGTTGATTTTTCTTTGTTAAATGGCATTTAAATATGTAAAATAAATATCAAAAATATAAGTCTTTGACTATGGTTGCAAGTATCAAAAAATTTCTGTATGTGACACGGCACCAGAGTTAAGTTAGGGTTTTTCAAAATGCTGACACGCCGAGCTCAAAAGGTTCGCCATCACTGATTTAGATGGTAGTTTTGGATATTGATGAACAAATAATGGAGATATTTTTGACTAGCTGTTCAAAGAAATGATGGGCACCAACAGTTTTAAGTTTAGAGAACAGGAGGATATTATATAGTAACTAGAGGCCCGATGCATGGAAATTCATGCAAGAGTAGGCCTTCCTTCCCCCAGCTGCCGGCACCAACTTCCCTCCGGCCCTGGCTTTGTCAGGAAGGACGTCTGGAATGATGTCTGGTCTAATTAGTCTATTACCCTTTTATTATTATAGATAGCAGTAAGTGAGTTGGGTAGGATATATTGGTAGTTTGAATAGTAAGGGAGTCAGATAGGATATAGTTTGAATAATAACTACTTTGTATTTAGATGGTAGTTTTAATAGATG